TTATGGAGACATAGCTTAGGTTAGAAGACCCTGTTGTTTCATTTTCCTATAAAGCTGAAGTAATAGTTTCTTGCTGTTTACTCAGTGAAATGTATTCTTGTACGTAATAAAGGGGGCTGTAGGGTGTCTTGTTTCTTTATTTATGGATTTTACAAGTAGAGTGAGTGAATTTCTTATGCTGTTATAACAAATTACATGAAAACATTGCATCTCATTTTGAAAGGTGCATCATGTATAAGTAATTCTGTAACTTGATATAAGCATATAATCTGAATTAAACTTATAATTCCCTTTGGCCTTTGTTCTGCCACCCACAGTCATACTGAGTAATGAGTACCTTCATATTTCAAATAATTTTTTGGATTTTAAACAAATATATGTCCTGCTTAGTAGCTATAATGGCCTAGCAGAAAAAAATTAGGTTTTAATTATCAGTGCATACAGGTAAGTCAGAAAGGCATTACAGTGTCGTTTTAACAAAGAAATGAGACAGCTGGTTGGCTTTCAGATATTTCAGAATTTCCTGAACATAGAGGTCAGATCATGCAATGCAATAGATGTATGATAGGTTGGATAATAAAATGAATTTGTAAATGTCAAAGTCGTACATATTCTTTCTTTGTGTTAAGATTGCCATCAGGATAATCCATGAGTGGATTAGCTAACCAATTAACAGCTTCGAATGGCCCTTGGCCCAATTATTTTTCAAATACTGTTAAAATGAGGTCACAGCAGATGGGTATATTCATGTCTGATTTGAATGTAATTGAGAAGATCTATGTACATAGGTGTTTAGCTAGATATCTCACAGAGGTGAAGAACAACAATTAGAGCATATATTCTGTATCTCTGATTTTTCCTTTCAACTACCATAAAGTTCAATTTAGAGAATAAGAGGAAGGACAAACCTGAAGCTGTTTTATCTAAGGGTGTTACCGTGAGCACCAGCCCTTAAAACACAAGATTGTCTTCCATAGATATTCTCTTACCCTTTCAGCTTCAGTATAAGCACATACACAAGCCAGGACAGTATTCTTCAGCACTTGTCAAGGTGGAGTAATTCCAGTGAACATGAATGTTTGTAATGTTAACTGAGGTCCTGATGCTGTGTGCTCTATTTGAACATAAGCCTTCTTGGAGACTTAAGTCTTAAAATAAAGCATTGTAATGTCTTTTCCTTTTCTTAAGTTAGATTGCAATGAGTAGATTATAAAATGGATCAAATTCTGTTTTGATGTCTACACCTCAGTGTTCTGGGGAGGACAGGTGTCAAAACATAAAATGAATATTTGCGGGTGTGTCATATAGACAACATTAACATTTGTGATTAAGAATTTCATGTATCGTTTTAATTTCTCTAAAGAAAGATCTTTCAGCCAGGTAGTACTCTGGATGAACTAACACAAATTTCAGGAGAAGAGGAACATCATGCTCCTTTGTTCCTTAATTTTTCCTCCTAGATTGTTTCAGCTCCTGTGTCTCACCACAGGACATCTAGAATGCTTGGAGATTTAGTTTCTTTCCATCATTGCCTCCCATCCTGCCCTGTTTCAAGGTCTATCAATAAAGGTATTCAGCTCTTCCAAACAACTCCCAATTTTCATTTGAAAAGAGCCTGGGAGAAAGTTTCTGTCTGTCATGAATGGAATAAGAAATGCTGAACTCTTTGGGTTCGTTTAGAGGAGAATTCTATTCTAAACAATAAAATAGCTGTCAAGTGCACTTCCTCTCCTCTCTTTTTGGAGTAATTTTTACAAATCAATTATTTAATAGAATTTGGGTAACTCTTGAAAATTGACAGGAACAAAATGGACTGAACAGTCTCTGTGGTTGTTGGAAATTTGTCCTGCCGCATCTCATAATTCTTCACTGGAAGGAAGGCATTGCTGTCAAAGAAATTGTAACTGTCACAGACTAGTATGTTTGAGTAAGCCTATAGACCTCAGAGGAAGCTGCCTTTAGGGTAAATAATGCACCAGTAGCAACAAATAAATAAAAGACAGTGATGTGACCTAATAAACAAAAAAAAAAAATCAAAAAAATTCTCAAGTCCTGCTGTGAATTGAGTGGTACTGTCAGAAGAGTTGCCAAGTTTCAGCAGCAGATTTTTTTTTTTTCTTTAGTGGAGAGCTTGTGAGGATGGCTTGCTTGATAAAAATAAAAATACATTCTTAGGAAAGACATTAGTAAGCTTTTCATATTTTTCTTTTACAGTCAGGAGAAGACAAATCAGTTCAGTTGAGTAGGATGACAGTACATCAGACAGCTTTTCTCACTCACTTTGGCATTCCCACAGTCTTGCTTCTTTGTGTCAGAACTATTTTCATCTTGGGTGCCAAATGTGATGATATTAGGAGGTTTTGATATTCATATCTTTGTTAGAGCCTAGTTAATATTAAGGTGCTAATATTAATAAGTGAATGTGAATGACAGTTTTTAGTTCCTTTCCTGTGAAAGTGAAATTCTACAGTCTAATGTTTTGAGTGCCAGACATATTTTACATTTAGAAACATCTTCATACTGTATTGTTCAGAAATATTTCAGACTTAGCATATTATTATTATTTTGTATTTCAGTGTCCATTACAAAGTGGAAATTTAAGAAGAAAAAGACCCTGCAGAGACAAATTATTTTTAGCCATTCTTTACTCTGTTTAGGTCCTGTTAGGTTTCTGAAGAGCAGACATTATGATGTGTAATTGCATAGCTAATGATTCTGAAAGTAAAATAACATTTATCTGTACTAACACTGGCAAAATCATTCTTATATGCATGGCTGAATGTAATATCCTAAGTAAATACAGGAGTTTTGCATTCACTTATGCCATCAAGCCAATGGCATTAATATTTGGCTATATATTTAGCTTCTATAATACATTGCAAATCCCCTGAAATGTTTCCTTAAAATCTTAGGGTTGAATAACAGCAAAGTAGAAGAAAGAAGGGAACCACAGATAAAATAAGAAAAAAAAGTTAGAAGCTAGATTTAAGAGGTCAGTTGTTCTTTCATTTTCATACCTTCTAATTTTTTTTCTGATTTATGAAACTTCTGTAGTAGTTCTGAAGTAAACTATAAACTATTCTAGTGTTTATTTCCCCCAAAGACATGGTCAATTCTGTCTTCTCTGAATAATAAGATCATTCGAACGATTTCTGTGGGCTGCTGGTGATACTAAGCCCAAGTCAGTATTCCGTGTCAGAGGGCTGTTAGCAATCTCTGCAGAGCCAGAGGATTAACTCGTTCAACAAAAGTAAAATACACTATTTTCTGTTAGGGTAAAACACCATTTGACGTTTGTGTCTTTTCTTCTGTTGCCACCTGTGTCCATCCATGCCACCACTAGAGATCTTCCTTTCCTGCCATGTTCTGTTCACTTTATTTTTTTCATGCATTGGCTGCTAAGTGCAAATTTATGATCCAAAAAGCACTCTGTAATGCTCCATGTTCCTTTACCTTATTCTTGGCCTATGCTTTCCTTAGATCCTCCCATTTTCTCACCTTTGTATTACTTTGAAGAGATCACAGGTCAGGTTTGACAAATCCTTTCCCTTTTCTCCTTGGATTAATTCCTTAAAACTTTTTTCCAGTAATTATTTCTGACTAATTAGTAACCTGGGACTGTGCCTTCATATGCTTCAGGGTTTGTTTTATACATTTAAAAATTCTTAGACATCTGCAAGTGTATAGGCTTGAACCAGAAATGGTAACTACTAATGGAAATAGGCTGATCCATATGGTCTGAAAATTTAGTCCCTAAATAATCTGTGTTCAAGACACAAAAGTCACTGGCTTATTACTTTTGGATCCATTATTGATTTCTCTCCCCAAAGTAGAGATGGGTAGACAAACAGGATGATAATAGAAGCTTTGTTTTTATGTCCATGGTAGGATTTCTAAGATAATAGATTAATGCTGCTGCTTATTTTAGTGGTTTAAAAAAGTCATGTGCTACGTGTGAATACAATATGAATATATTATTTTGGGGAGTGTTACTGCTTATGAGAGGCCTCGGTTGACAGGGCTAAATGAAGTGGAGGTTGTCCAGCTTTGTAACCTTTAATACAACCCTCCGATATTAAAGTTCAGATGAAGTAGCTAAGTATTAAAAATCTCTTTTCTTGCCTTATGCTTTATTCCTGTGCATGGGAAACACTGGGATAAAACAATCATGAATTTAAAGCTAAACAAGAAATTATTAATTATTAGGGACAGAAATCCTGCTGACAGCAGTTTCAAATAAAGGAAATGTGCATGTTATGCTGTCATTTTAAAACTGTAATTGGAAGCTGGCCATTTAACTGTTTACTGCAAACAGTACTGTGTTTGATTTCCTGTACCTGTGGAGCTTATCAGAAAATTGTTGGCTTTTTACAAGGTGTTACAAAATGAAAGATAGAACTAAGATGGATATTTGGAACAGTGAGTCAGCTTAGCTTAAGCAAACAATTTTGTTATACATCATGGCTGTGAAAGGTAAAGCGATTTTTGTTGCATCAAATATCACATGGAATTCAAAGGTTACCAGCATTACCTATCAACCGCATGTGGAACTCAAGCAGCGTAAGTGAGGCTCTCCTGATGGGTTTTGTCACGTGAATAGTCTATCGTTCTGTTGATACAAAGTAATCCAAATTTTGAAATACAGGAGGAATGGGATGGCATAGCCTACTTGCCCTAAGGTTGAATTGCATATCCTCTTCCCCATGAAACCATGGGAGTCATGGGGATCTTCTGTTATCACCCATCTCTGCATTATTCCTTAGCACACTGATCCCTCTGAACCCCAAGGTGAATGGAGTTGATTTTACAGATCTTGACAAAGGTTTTGATAAGTGTTTCATAGAATCAGTTCAAGTTCTCCAAGAACTCTAAAAAAAAATTTTTTTCTTCCTTTATGAAAAAGAGAGCCTTCAGGTTTTCATTTATGCAATTTGCATTTTATTGTTACTAAAATTCCTGTGTATTTTTAATTAATCGTTGTTTATTTTTCCACATTTCAGGGATACCACTGTACAAAGCCTTACCCTACAACCTTCTGTAAAAGATGGTCTTATTAGATATGAAGATTCACCACTGGTCAGTAGTAACATTTGGCATTTGGATTGTATACTTGGAGATGTTTTTTCATTTAAAACAAATATTTAAACGTGCTGGCTTTTCAAATAAGATTTTTTTTTTTCATGGAATTGTCAGTGAGTGTGGTAACATTTAATTAACTTTTGCTTTGGCCACATTTGTCATGTTTGCTGTGCCAAATGCTGAATAAGATTGGGAGTCTGCACTCATAAAATGAGTATGGGAGATAGTTTAGTTAGTGTTAACCTGACACATTCTAACTGATGCAGTGGTATTTTTCTCCTCTTTTGTAGTATCTCAAACCTATCTGCTAAGTTGGACTGCAAACAGCTCCTGCTGACATTCTTTAGTTCTTTCAGCTAGATGTTGACAGTCCAGATGGAAACTGCTTTTGCACTTCTCTGTCAGCACTCCAATTCACTCTGTCAGGCTCCTCAGTTCCCCCTCTAGTGCAGTCCTTTCTGTCCCTGTCCCAAAGAAACAGAAACACCTGCCTTTATTGTCTCACCTTCTCCCTCTTCTCTCTGCTACAGTTCTGAGTCCCTTTCCTGTCTCAGTGCCACTGAGATGTCACTACTACTGACTGAGACATCAGCAATGCAGTTTCTTGCAGTTAGTTTGGGGAGATTGTGATGATTTGATTCTTTTCTTTTAGGTAAAAGCTGTGAAGTTTGGACATATTTTGGTAATTGATGAGGCAGACAAAGCACCAACGAATGTTACCTGCATCTTAAAAACTTTAGTAGAAAGTGGGGAAATGGTTTTGTCCGATGGAAGGCGAATTGTTGCCAGTAAGTAGATAGATATCATTTTGATCATTTACAGTAAAATGTAATGTGTTGCTGGTTTTCTGCAGTTACGTTACAAAGTAGAGACCCAAAAGAGTCCAAGTGGAAAAAGTACTTGATGCTAAAAGGTTAGCAATTAAAGAATTTGCAGTCATTTTCTTTACTACTTTTGCAATAACCACAAAGGTTTTCTTCCTGGACTTGTGCAAAGCCTTTGACACAGTCCCACATGACATCCTTGTCTCCAAGTTGGAGGGACATGCATTTGACAGAAGGACCACTTGCTGGATAAGGAATTGGCTAGACGGCCACACTCAAAGAGTTGTGGTCAATGGCTCAATGTCCAAGTGGAGACTGGTGACAAGTGGTGTTCCACAGGGGTCGGTACTGGGACCAGTGCTGTTTAACATCTTTGTTGGAGACATGGACAGTGGGATTGAGTGCACCCTCAGCAAGTTTGCCGATGACACCAAGCTGTGTGGTGGACACGCTGGAGTTCCCTCCAGATGCCATCCAGAGGGACCTTGACAGGCTTGAGAGCTGGGCCAATGCAAACCTCATGAAATTTAACAAGGCCAAGTGCAAGGTCCTGCACGTACGCCGAGGAAATCCTGCGGAGAGTGGATAGAGAGCAGCTCTGAGGAGAAGGACTTGGGGGTATTGGTGGATGAGAAGCTGAACATGAGCCGGTAGTGTGCACTTGCAGCCCAGAAAGCCAACCGTGTCCTGGGCTGCATCAAAAGCAGCATCAGCAGCAGGTCGAAGGACGTGATTCTCCCCCTCTGCTCTGCTCTCGTGAGACCCCACCTGGAGCACTGTGTTCAGATGTGGGGCCCCCAACATAAAAAAAACCTGGACCTCTTGGAGAGAGTCCAGAGGAGAGCCACAAAATTAATCAGAGGCCTGGAGCACCTCCCCTATGAGGACAGACTGAGAGAGTTGGGGTTGTTCAGCCTGGAGAAGAGAAGGCTCCGAGGAGACTTAATAGCAGCCTTCCAGTACCTGAAGGGGGCTACAGGAGAGATGGGGAGGCACTCTTTATCAGGGGGGTAGTGATAGGACAAGGGGTAATGGGTATAAGCTGAAAGAGGGTAGATTTAGACTAGACATTAAGAAGAAGTTTTTCACTGTGAGGGTGGTGAGACACTGGCACAGGTTGCCCAGGGAAGCTGTGGATGCCCCATCCCTGGAGGTGTTCAAGGCCAGGCTGGATGAGGCTTTGAGCAACCTGGTCTAGTGGAGGGTGTCCCTGCCCATGGCAGGGGGGTTGGAACTTGATGATCTTTAAGGTCCTTTCCAACCCAAACCGTTCTATGATTCTTAAATTAGCATTCTCATGAATTTTGCTGAAAAATTAAAAAACAAACCCAAACAAACCCAAAACCCCCAACAAACTGTAAATTGACCTCCCTGCTTCTCATTTACCATAAGAAATAAAGTTCTAGTTCACCAAATTATGATCTTGGGTGTGCCCATCTGGATAGTTGGGGTATAATTTGGTCAGATCTGTAATTGAAGATGGGAGTATATATCTAAGGTTGAATTGTTAAGGGTTTCAGCTAAGGAAACCGCATATGTTTATATTATTGAAACATTTCCTGCAGGATGAGATTATTTTGTAATTTAAGGGAATTTAATTCATATGCATTGCAGGAACTAAATACTTTTCGTTTCAAAGAAAGACCATGTTTGAAATGCCCTCTTGATATCAGTAGACACTACTTTACATAATGAGTTTCTTTTTAACAATGTTGGAAACTGTTTAAATATGAGAGGAGCAAATCATTCAGCACTCGCATGGCACAACACTTGTGTTTTGCTTGTCTTCATAAACTGTAGGTGGGCTTGTTTTAAAATATCTTGCTAGGTAGACTTAATTCTTACTGCAGTTTTTTAGAGAAGGTAAAAGGATTCCCAAATGCCATGTGCCGCTGGAAACATGCTGCAAGGGAACGAGTGGGGCCAGTCTGACTCAATTTGGAGAAACACAGCCTTCAGATATGTGAAATCTTCTGTCTCTGGCTTCTTAACAATTTTTTATAATCACCAGGAGGAATTTCAGTCCTGTGTTCCCAAATAAGATAATACCAGACCTGTGTGAAAAACACATTTTATTCACCATTGGCTGCAGCATTTTGGTGAAATTAAATATAAACAGGACAGGTAGTCCCCACCCCAAGAACAGTGGATGCATTTTTTTTTAATTAAACACATCAGTATGTTTAATGAAACAAATTATGGACCTTTAAAATGAAACCTAGAACACTGGTAGTTGAATGACAGGCTAAGAGGCCATTCAGCCTGTTTTCTAACTGTTTGTAACTTCTAATTCTAAGAACAAGATAATTCTTCTAATTCCAAGAAGAATTCTTCTAATGTAATTATGTTTGTTTAATTCATTCATAATCCCAAAGTTTAAATATGCAGTTAATGCATTTTATTTCTTTTCCAGATCATGCTCATGTAGAGGGGAGAGAAAATGTAATAGTTATTCATCCTGATTTTAGAATGATTGTTCTAGCAAACAGACCTGGATTTCCTTTCTTGGGTAATGACTTTTTTGGCACATTAGGTAAGTGATTCATATTAAATAGTGATTAATAGAATGACTGTCTTTATTCATTAGATTTCATGGGGAGAAAGGGTCATTATGCATATTGATACTTTGTTTCGCATAAGACACTCAAGGTGACATTCAGCTTGAAGACTAACATGTAAATTTAGGTATCTTAATAAAGGTGCCCGAACTTGTCCTGAAGTGAACAGCTTTTATATGTGGTCATTTGTGTTGCAACTCGTTTGTTATATGAGATCTGGACAAACACAGCAGACAGACAAGAATACAAGAAATCTCTGTTAATGAGCATATACTGTATACAGATATAGCAAAAACATTAGCTGTAAACAGCTTGATACCTGACATCAATGGTTAACACAACTGCTCACCATTTTTATTCCCCATATCAAACAAGCTAGAGGCCAGGTGCAGTCCTCTTCAGTACAGGAGATGGGAGCTGGATGGGTGGTTCTTTCATCTCAGCAGTGGAGGTTACTGTCTTTTTTGGTGCTACCTGCTTCTTAATCCTCATTAGCCTCTCCATGTGCGTGGCTGTGGGTGATAGACCTTATTAAAATAGACAAGATATTGAATTTATCCTAGTTTCAGGTAAGGCTGTCCAAATTTCACATCGAAGATTTTTTTTTTAACAGCAGCCTTATTTCAGAAAGCTCCTGTTGGGTCCTAAAAATCCTGTATATCAGCAAAGATTTCCCACAGCTTCATCTCACAGCAAAAGCAAGAATTTATGTTGCATAAGGGCAAGTGATGAAGAATTAATTGTCTTGTATAGTTCAGTGTTAGTCTAAGTGGGCCTCTGGCAAGGCTTTAGCAGTGTTACACCTGGTGTACCAGCTGAATAACCCTCCAGACTCGGCTGACTGTGTTGTCTACATTAGTTTAACCACTTATGTGCAGGCATCTGTTCACTTTGGCTGTAACGCTTATTCTACAAGAAATAATAAAAGACTTGTAAAAGCAGGAGCAAACCTAATTCTGTATTGCGTAATAGCTTTCTGTTTTTCATATGTAGTTCCCAGTGAATGGGCATTTCATGTCAGAGATCCATTGGTCTGAATTTCACCCAGCTACGTTGCCCCAACATGTTTGAGTATTGCCTATTTCTTCTTCATGACCTTATTTCCTTCCTTACATGGACCCTTTAAAGAAAATCGGTCATGCAAGCATTATTACATTTGGGCCACATGGCAGAGGCTTGACTGGCGTTTTGGGATTCTTTGTTGATTTTGTTTTTCAAGCATAGGGGTTCTTCTGCTTTTAATTCAAGTCCTTTTTATCATGCTTCTGCAAAGTTTTGTATGACTGTTAAAGGACTCTTTACAAATAAACTAAATTTTATAGATTATGATTGGGACCAATATAATGCAAATATATGGAAAGAATATAAATGACAGGAGAGATCTCCATGTTTCCAGCAACCTCGATGTTCTTCATAGCAAGTTTTTCCTTCACATTTTTCAAAGTAGTTTTTGTCTTGTTTTGTTTTAATAAGCAGGTACCCAGGATCCTCTTGAGCCATTGCTTTTCCATTTAAGGTGCTGTATGAAACTTAAAGGGGCTGTTGTGATGCTGTCTCTTTATGAATTACTTAACTGTATGCTTTTTTTCTTTTTAGGGGACATTTTTAGTTGCCATGCTGTTGATAATCCCAAGCCACAGTCCGAACTAGCTATGCTTAGACAATATGGTCCTGATGTTCCAGAGCCAATTCTTCAGAAACTGGTGGCTGCTTTTGGAGAACTCAGGAGCTTAGCTGACCAAGGAATCATTAACTATCCCTATTCCACTAGAGAAGTTGTGAATATCGTGAAACATTTACAGGTAGAGAATGTCAGATTTCATGAAAACTTGAGTTAATCACTACTAATTTTTTCATGCTTTAAAGTTTTAGAAAAAGGTACCGTTACTGTTCATTCATTTCTATTTCATTCTTATGAAAAGTTTTGAATATGAAGGAATCATATTTAGATGTTTGGATAGTCAGAGGGTAGGGATCACAGATGTACACAGGCATATATTTTTTCTGGATGTTTATTTTTAGATATTAAAAAAAACCCTGAGAGCCTGTTTTTCTACTGTGTGAGAAAATACCACCTTCATACTGTGAATACAGTATGTAATGTTCATACTAGCCTATGTTATAAAATTCCATATTCAGCATACAATACTTCCAGGACAATGCAACTTCACTGTATGCTGCTTGTACAATGTTTAGTTTTAATAATTTCCCAGGGAAAAACAAGTTCCTGATGCATAACAGTAATGCATCACAGGTGGAATTTTTCTAAGGAAAATGTTAGATGAATAACAACTTATCAAATGGGTACTTAGGATCCATTATTACTTCTTACACACATTTTAACGGTACAATCCTGAATTCTGATTTAATGATTTTTTTAAAAGATTGCAGTAGAGCTTGACTTCTGTCTTTATAAATTGAAGACTACTTTTCGTCTGAAGTATTTGAAATATAAAGTATCTTAATGCTCTTTGAAATAGCAGTGCTTTTATTTTGTTCTGTTTATAATCATTAAATCAGTAATTTGTTTAATTTATAGACTGTTTTGTGAACTACTAAATCCTAGATTGAAAAAAATAGTGGAAATATTAATGTAGCTATTACAATTAAAATATAATTTATCATAAATTCTTTGACCTACTTTTCCTGTGTTTAACACTGCATAGTATAACAGGGTTGCATGATGGTTTTGTGTTTGTGCTTATGAACTTATTCATGTACCTTCATGCATATACACAGACATTTAGACTTACCACTTCAAAAAAATCTTCAGTTTATCTGGATTTCTGAGGAGGATAGATTTTTGTGCTCTGTGGTCTCCAGAGTGCAGTGAGGTCTTGAGACAGAGTAAATTGATACTACTATGATACCAATAATATAGACAAAAAGCAGTTGTATTTTTATGAATTTGTACTAAGGGTTAACAAAATTCAGACCTAAAATCTGAGGAATCCGTCCATATAAACATGTAAGCAGAGTAGTTTATTAGGATCCATTACCAGTTAATAGGTATAACTATTACTGCTAGAACATGTGCCGTGTTGATAGTATCAATGATGTCTTCAAACGCAGAATTACATTTGAAATGCAAGTGGAAAAATTACAAACTCTAGGAACAGTTGCTATGCTGCTGAAAAGCTGGTGTTTAGGGGTTTTGTTAAATGAACTCCTTCCTGTCTTCTTACTCTTTGGCTGTTCCTACCTTCCTTTCTATCTTTCTTTCATCTTCTGTCTCCAAGTAATCTAATGTTGCACTATCTTCTGTCACCCACTGGTGCAGAAACGTATGGACTTAATTCTTTTTTTTCTTTCTTGTCCTCAGAGCACTTACTCTCTGCTTTTGTCTCCTTCACTTAACCAGAATAGTGTGGTCACTTCTACTTGGGCATTGGGCACAGATCAGTGGGGAAGTTTCCTGTCTGCTGGTTTTCATTTGTTTCAAAGTCAAGTGTAAATATCCAAATAAATCTCCAATGTGCTTCTTTGATTCCTTCAGTAACGTTTGTTTTCAAGATCCCAGTCTCTCTGAAAGGATGCAACATTTTGTTTACTGTAACTTCTTTTTCAATCTGAATAATAAAAAGGCTGGGAGTAGCCAAATGTAAACAGGGAATATAAACATAATGGTTATTCCAAAGTAAGAAGCTTTTTAGGTCTTCAGGTAGAGAAGAAAGAGGAAGGAGGGAAATGAGTCAATAAAATTGCTGGTCTGAAGGAAGGAAGGAGGGAAGTTAGTCATGTTGTTAAACAATTTCCCTTACAGCAGTTCCACAGCCCCACTCTCTTTGTACTGTTGTGTTGATTTCTTTCACATAATTTTGGATTTATTTTCTTCTGAAAAAAAGGGGTTGTATGTTTTGCAGAAAAAAAATGCTGTTGATTACTGTTATCTGAGAGAGCGTCTGAGCATCGGGGCTAGTCAGTTAAGAGAATATCCTGGTTACATCAGCATATTATTAGGCTAATCTCTGCACTGATTAATTGTGGTCTTCAACATATAGGACTGTGTCTACAGTGTAGTTCCAAATGTATCTTCTGATAAAGATTATGCGAATAGGGAACCTGTAGCAATTTATTTGTAGCTTAGACACTGCATTCACCATTAGGTTACCTCTTTACTCTTTCTTAAGGAAAGGGGTTTTTTGGGGAGCTTGACATACCAAACTAGTTTGAAGACTGAAGCTACAGACATAGGGAAAGTTGTCTACTGCAGGTGCCTAACTTGGTTGCTCCAACTATTTCTCCCCACTGGTTGTAAAAGGAGTTTGCATCTTGCAGCTCTAGATTGCAGGTGACCTGAATATAGTCTTTTTGTGTCGCTTGCCTGCTGTTTTCAAACCGTGTCAAATCCAGAAGTATTGATGCTAACAGCGGCTTATGGGCAAGCTGAGAAGCTCTGCTCTCGCTCCGTTGGGTTACTATACGCTAGCTATAACTACTGGTGTATGCTGTGACTGCTTCTCTGCAGTCTAATATACTAGTTTTCATGAGACCTTTCTCATGTTGTTTGCCGAGTCCAGATACACCTGATGTCCCTGGTAGGTGTTAATCAGGCAAGCCATGTTAGTCCAGATAAAATGGAAATAGATTTTCTAATAACTCTATTGAGTTTGGGAAAGCTGAGATTTTTCTGATAGGCCTTCCTTGTTTGTATCTGAGACTGCTTTCTAATAGTAGGCACTACTGTAACAATTTTCAGGCAGTAAATGACTGTGGTACCTTCTGGCCCTGAAGGCTACTAATCATCAGGCTTTTAGGGCCATTCAGTAAGCTTTTGTGCTAAGGTAGTACTTTTTTCTGTTCAACCTAATCTCAAAAGGAAGCTAAATTTATCAAATCACAGTTTATATCCCTTTCTAACCTTGCTGTCAAACGCACATCAATAATAATGTTTTAGCCTTTTGGCCAACCACAGTGAATATCAGTTACCAGTTTTCAAAGATAATTAGATTTCTGCTGGTTTAATCAAAATCCATGGCTGTGTGACAGAAGGAACAGATTGAAATCAGTGTCCCTGTGAAATAAAAGATGGGGAAAATTCAGCTGTTTTACTTGACAGTAGACAATACCCACTAAAGACGTGAGCACTGAATCAATTAGTATGCATGTCGCTCAGGATAAGCCATAGATTTGGTGCTTCTTGCCCTGTTGACAGGACAGCTGAGGAGACACATAGATGGCAGAGTTCAGTGAAAAGATGTCAGGAATACAGGGGAAGTCAAGGGCACAAAGGAATGAGCAGGTAGGGAGAGATGTGTTAGTGTTGTGGGAGCAGGGTGGGCCTTGGGGATGGTGCTGACAGGATGGGAAATGTGCGGGCATCTGAAGGCACTGGAATATGTAGGTTTTTTTTGAGAACACAAGCTAGAAGTCTAAAACAAAGATCTGGACTCGTTACAGACTAGATACCAGATACTTTGTCACTCTGTTTTCAGGGTAGTGGTAGAAATACAGTAGACCTCAATGTGTATAGCATATTTGAATTAAAATTCTGTATTTCTCCTACAAAAATATTATTTTACTGATTGCTTTTAAGCAGACTATAGCAATAGATCTACTCATAGACAGTTAGATTCATAAAAATATGGATTTTTCACTAAGACAAATTCTGTCACAACTCTGTATCACATAAATCATAAAATATATATATATATATAAAAATATAAAATGGTTAAAAGCAAAACCTATGTTACTTACTATTTTGAGGAACAGCCAAGAAGCTAAGCTGTGAAAATACTCTAACGCACAGACAGAGGTGTTACTTGTAAGGAGAAGAATCAATGAATGAGAACCAGACAGACTTATGAGAGATCAATATTTTCTACAGTAATCTGGTTTTAAAAATCGTTAGATATCAAGTGATTTTTTTTTTAAGTGTTCAACTCAAACATTCAACTTTTTTTTTTTTTTTTCTTGGCTTCAAGTGAACTGTCATTGCCTTTCTTCAGTAAGCAGTTGTCCAAGCAGTTATTAAAAAGTGGTTGGATTTGTTCTGATGGAAAAAAAAAGAGTTGTTTGTGATTTTTTTTAATAACTGAAGTAGAGGGCTTTTTGACAAGTAGCTTGTGTTCAGAACAGGTTTTATTGACAGGAGCCATCAGTTGTACCTGTGGAAATAATTTTTTCATTATGTCCTACTGATACAAGAGGCATGGAACTATTGAGGCAATCCACTGAGGAGAAGGGTATTGATGTCCGAAGTTAGGTAATCATTCAGAAAACTATGGGCATCCTTGGAGACTCCTAATGAAAACCAGATAAGATTTGAAGCACTCGACCAATGTTTCTGCAGTATCTACTGCAGGGCAGGTAAAAGAGTAGGTTATGAGTGAACAAGATAGCTTGGTGCCAGTTTGTTGGTTGTACTTTGGTTGTGAGAAGAAAAGAACACAGAAAATGCAGTATTCATAATCATAAAGGTTCTAAAGAAAGATTTTGGTTATGTAAAGTATGCACAATTCTGGACATGTTTTGTTCTTGTTACCAAAAGAAGACACTCGAAAACAGACTGCGATAGGGTCCTGCACACTGACTGCTAAGTAGCTTTCCGTGTTTTTTTTATAAGTCTGTGGGCTTTTTTTTTTCAGTATATTTACTTTGACTCCAAGGTGTAATTTACATTATAGAAGTTAGTACTTTCACTACTGAACTTTGTCACAAACTTTTTGCATTTACATTACATGTGAAATGTTTATATGGTCTTTAATTAGAATAGCTGTTGAGAGAAATTTTATTTTTAGTAACCTGTTTCATTCAGTAAGGAATGGACATTGTAACCAGTGTGGAACAGGCTGTAGGACAACTTTATGTTATCCCGTAATAACTTGTGTTTTGCTAATCTGTAATAATACAGAACTTTTAATAGGTTTCTCATGGATAGCTTTAAGAAGTAGGACATTGTTTAGTGTGCTTTTATATAAACCAACACTAGTAATGAAATATTCTGTGACATGTACACCTCAGATTAAAAAAGGTTTATACAAACCTATTTCTGGCAGTGGTATTCCATTCTATCACAGTAACTAGGTAATCTTTGTATTACTTGTGTCAAGGATATTGTATTTCAGAGATTAGATATTTATTAAGTTGGGAGAATACTAAACTCCTGATAAGGGTACTGTTTGATTAAGAGTTCAGGACAAAACATTTATGAAAAATTTATATTTCCTTCTGGTTTAGTTTTTATTTCAGGACTCAGATCTTTATTTTTCATGCTTTTGTACATTTCTCTGACACTTCTGTTAGGTCTGAGTCTGAAGGTTTGAAGTTATTTGTACCAGCTATACTAATTAATTGGGAAAAAACAGTTAAGACTTCAACTCCCTAAAATACTTCTTCACATGTTTATCTTCATCACTGTCAGTGTGTCATTCTGAGATAGGGGATCCATGTTCTGGTCTTACAGACCTAGTATTTGAATGAAAGACCTGGAAAAAAGCGAGAAGTTTAAAATAAAAAGGTTCTCATTCTGTCTCATGCCAAAAAAAAGGTAAAATAAAGCAGTTAGGTGGTAAAATTCTGGGATATATAGTAATTTGGTGATTTTTTAAAAAAATATTATTTTTATTTACTCCATTTACATCTTACAAGAGTAAGTATTTTTTTCTGGTGTTTTATTAAAGACTATCTGTGAAAAGGCTCAGTGACTTAGAAGTGTTAACACGTTCAACTTAAACAGCTGTGTTTATCAATGGTAAATGAAATCTAAATTTTGCGCAGTACGTATTCTGTTTAAATTACCTAAATGTGCCTTTAAGAAATAAATTTATTGGACCCTGAAATTATGGCTGCATACATTAAGGAAGATGTTTACTGGAATCTGACTTAATTTAAATGGGGACAGGTACATGTTTGCAATTGGAGTTTCAGGGCAAATCTAAATAAAATCTGTTTTTTCTTTATGTACACAGCACATTTCAGGTAGTATTTTTCACTAAGAAAACAAATGTTTGTGCATCTTAAGTGATTTTCTCTTTCCACTAAAGTCCATCATGACCTAAAGTTATTTTTAGTAAGTAAGGAGTGTATCTTCTGCATTTCTATATTCAAGGTGAAGAATCCAAATTCTTAAATGAATTGTATAATTGAATATAAGAATATATGTGTTTATGTCAGATTTTCACAGTTAGCAGAAAGTAGTTCCAAATTTTAAAAATACATTATTTTATGTTCCAATGTTTACACCATCTTTTTATGTGTATAATGAAAACAGTTCTTTAAAACATTAATTATGTTGAATATTTAAGTAATTGTCTCCTCCTTGTTTGTTTAATTCAAGTTTAGGCTCAGTAACTTCGTTCTGACTTAAAGCAATGTATCTTCTTTATTGTGGAAACTAAAAAAAAGATTACTTGAGCACTTGTCTAAGTTGAGCAAAGTATTTAATTATATGCTGTAACTTAACAGATATTCAGTAAAATAAATTTGAGGGTCTTTGTTTCTTCACAGAAATTTCCAACTGAAGGATTGGCAAATGTTGTTCGAAACGTATTTGACTTTGACTCCTACAACAACGAAATGCGTGAAATTTTAATCAGCACTTTGCACAAATATGGGATACCTATTGGAGCGAAGCCAACCAATGTGCAGCTGGCCAAGGAGTAAGAATAACATAAGATATATATTAAGAAGACAGGTCTCTCATGATCATTTTTTTATAGTGTGTTATCTTGCTGCTAAATGATACAAAAACAACCTGGAATACTTGAAGTCAGTCCTCTGGTTCAAATTTATATTCCTCCAAATAGGTTACAACAGTATAAATTATTTTATTATAGAGTATTTGCTTATTACTAATATTTAATCTTTAATATCCATGTACATATTGATAGTCTGTATGGTAAACGGATATATATTAATAAAGGGAAATACTTGTTTCTTCTCCTGTGTTTTTAATTGACTTACAACACATTTCTGTCCTGTTACTTATCTCCTCAATAGCTAGCGAAAAAACCTCATTGTCTTCAGTGGTAGTGGGATTTTGTCTTTGATATTCACTAGAGGCTCTCTTTTTGTATGTGTCTGCCTATCACTGTTATTCTTTAATTATGTTAACTGTTGATGTATTACACTGTATACTTTTTCAGAGGTTAGAATCAAAATAGCTTTTTTTTTTTAAGATTAGAGTGAATTATGAAACAGGTTTAACTCATTCTTCCACAATTCACAGATAATAGGCTTAAGGAGATCATACTGAAAAGCAATTAGAAAACTTGTACTGGCTTGAACTGTAATACCTAATTTAATTATGGAGAAACAAATATTTCCCTTTCATGAAGAAAGCTTTATGGATGTATGGAAAAATGAGTTTTCCATGGGATATACTACTTCTATATTTGCTAAGGAGGGACTGATTCTTATAACATGATGTCTTGATATTAGGTGTCCATTGGTAGGTTTCTCTTGCTGGAGCACCACTGTTATCGCATCTAACTTCCTACATACACTGGCAGTGTAATGACTGTGGCGTACCTTTTAGTTTTGATGACAGAAGAATTACATGCCTAGGGAACCAATACTTGAGCAACTATAGCATCTGTCACATTGACAGTACACACCTGAAACATAGTTTCTTTGCTAAAAGTCACTTGGTAATTATTTTAAAGAATTATGACGTTTGTCATAGTTTTTGAGATATTTGCACTTTATTTAATTTTTAGAAGTATTAGATGTGGGTTTACGTGGGGGGATTGGAGAGGACTCTGTTAGTGAGAAGATCAGAGGTTTAGGAAACAGAGAAAGACTGCTGTAATTGGGGACTGTTCAGTCTAGAAGTGAGAAGATATAAGAAAGATCTGATTATTTTGAATTCAAAGATAATCACCTGATCATTTTGAATCCATCCCTGAGGTTTTATAGGACAGCTTACACCAAGGATGACAGACTTAAAAGACCCCCACAAGATGTTCATCAAAAACTTCTCTTGACTGACAGCTACAGACACATACTCTGCTACACTGAAGGCTAAGACGAAGAGAAACTACAGGAGCAGTTCACACGAAGTTGATAATAGCAACTTTTTCTTAGATCTCCCCATGCAAGATTGGGACTAGGCTGACCACCAGGCTCTTATGATCCAATCATGGTCTCAGTATCTCACTTGCATCTGCCACAGCTGACATTTCAGGTTGTCCTACTGCTTCATTCCATGTTGGTCATGAGATTTAATCCTATGGATTTTATAAATCAGAGGTGAATCACCTTGAATTACAGAGTCATCTTTCAGGAATGGTTTAGGCGTAGTTGATTCTACCTTGGGGTAAAAGAATATCTAGATAATCTCTCCAAATCTGTTCCAGCCCATATTGCAAGCTCCCGTGATGGACACATTGAGTTAGTTGGGTATGGTGTTTGGACCACTGCAGAAAAGGTACTTCCCAAAGCTGATACGTGTTTAAAACTAGAGTACTGACCTCCTCTAGATTGTTTTCCAGGAATTTGAGAGTAGGATAATGGTGCTAATCTAGTCCATCCCACTTACTTCAGAAAAGATGCAAGTTAATCTAAAAACTTCTTATCTGATATTTGTCATGACACATTCCTGAAAACATTCAGAGATGGAGTTCTATAACCTCCCAAAGCAAGTCAGTCTTATTTCTAAATATCCTTGCCATTAGGAAGTCAGCTCTAGACTAAACACATCCAGTTCTCTCAATCTTCCCCCTTTTTTAAGGCCTCTGGTTGTTTTTCCTTTTCTTTTATGCTCCCCCTCTCCACTTAATTCATGTCTATCTTAAAGCATTGTGTGTGAAACTAGGCAGGTTAGTTTCTGCTAGATCTGAATACAGTAGTATGAGAATATAGACTAGAGATGTATTTCATGCAGCAGTCATAGAATCATAGAATCATTAAGGTTGGAAAAGACCTCAAGGATCATCAAGTCCAACCCAACACCACCTAACTCACTAAACCATGTCCCTAAGCACCACATCTACAGTCGTTTTTAAAAACCCCAGTATGTTTGCATTTCTTGTGAAGTTTAACTCATGTCTATTTTTCTAAACAAGAACCTCCAGATCCTTTCTGCAGCACCCTGTGTAGTGCATACTCCATCTCTACTTTATGTAATCAACTGCCTTCATGCTTACATTTTTTTTACTGTACTGTATTTTTTCAGATTAGTTCTCTGACTTGACAAGATCGCTTTCAATTTTAAGCTAGTTTACCTACCTGCTTATAGTCTCTCACAACTTGAAGAGTAAATCTGAAGGTTTACTAGCTGTGATTTCTGTGGTGTCCTAGTGACAACAGCATACCCCCACAGAGGTTCACTTCTGTGCTTCGGTCTTAATTTGCAAGACTTCTGAGACTTACTAGCTAGCACAGTAAATTGCTCAGTGGTGCTATTAAGTAACATGAAAACTAGGATAATGGTCCAAGCCTATTCTGCCTGAGGATGTTAGTCATACCTGCAGCAAAATCATTGCTATTGATAAGAATACAAATCCCGTGCAATTAAGAAGTTTTGCAATACAGAAGCATTTCCAGGAGATTCTAGGACAGGAAAATCATCATACTGAAATGCTGACTCCTTTATACAGGTACTCTGCGGCATGTCTTGGATCAAACAATTTGTGAATCTTTATTCTACTTTAATAAATTTTAGAGAAGTCTGTCTGTCACCTATTACTTAGTCTAAAAGAAAATTTGAATAAATCAGAATTATTTTAAACTTCTGCTGAAGCGTAACTGCTCTAAATACAGCAACAAAAACATGAGAAACATGAGCATCACACTACAATACAAGGCCTCAATAGAGGGAACTTTGAGGTTGTATCCAGCTCAAATTACAGGGGAAATTTAACAGACGGTACCAGCAAACATTATAGGAATTTTAGTTTAGGTTCTGGAATTAATATAGCTTATTTTGGAAGGAAAGATTAGGTGGTATATAATAACCATTTAGAAAAGAATTCTTGCAGTAGTTATTTTCTCAAGAGATAAATTAACTTGTAGATGCTAATTAATTTTCATAATTTCAGCTAGTTCATTAAGCTGAAAGAGGGTGGATTTAGATTAGATATTAGAAAGAAATTTTTTAATATGAGTAGGGTGAGGCACTGGAACAGGTTGCCCAGGGGAAGTTGTGGATGCCCTGTCCCTGGAGGTGTTCAAGGCCAGGCTGGATGAGGCTTTGAGCAACCTGGTCTAGTGGAGGGTGTCCCTGCCCATGGCAGGGGGGTTGGAACTAGGTGATCTCTAAGGCCCCTTCCAACCCAAACCGTTCTGTGATTCTATGATTTATTTCCAGAACTGGTGTCAAATATTAGACCTGTATAGTGATGCTTTACTTGGGCTTTCTGTTTCCTTCAGGTTTTTTTTTTTTTCCCCAAATGGCCATTCTTCAAGGTGCTGACACGTTCAATATTGTCAGGTTATAACATCAAGATACTGTCTATAGTGCCTGGTATCACCTGTTCAGTAGTTTATAATTTTTATCAGTATTGTGTGTAAAGCAGATGGCTTGTCTATGATATTTTGCCAAGACATAGTGGGTAAAAGGAATTACTCAATGTACTAGCTCATTTTTTTTTTATGTACAACTACACTTTGTTTTCCCATTGGCATCTGTTATGTCGCTTTTGTCTGAACTCATGTTAGTCTGCCATTTTGTTGCACAGTTCAGACTGTTGGCAATTGCTAGGTAAAAGAGCATTCAGCTCTAGTTCTGGCATTTATCCTTGATGAAATTGCCATTCCATATTGTTTCTTCTGTCACTATCCACTTCCAGGTGCTTGTTATAACTTGAATATTTGTTTTATATTAACTGAATTTTTTATAGGTAATGTAAATGTGTAAATTTTAATGGCTTTAATTTTCTCTTTAGACTGGTTTGGTTTTTTATTCCACAGGTAATCTGTAATTAACTGCGGGACCTGTCTCATACTGCATATATCTCTTGTCCATCCGGGGGAAGTGCATTGCAGGGGAAGCAGAGGGGGGGTGTGCACTTGACTGTCAGGGAACAGGAGGTCTAACATAAGATGGTTCTGTATATCTACTGCTTATATTTTTAGTCAAAAGGTGTTTAAATAGAAGTATGGAGGTCTGGCTGGTAAGGAATTTTCCTGGTTTTAAACTATTATCTTGCTCAAGTCCAAAAATCTTAGGTGGGATAGAAGTCTCAGATAGAGCACAGGCTGTTACTGAAGTCCTTGAATAATACATTCTGTGCCAGCACTGAGCAGGTTTACAAGATCATGTATTAAGCAGCTTTGTTACCTGTCATAGTTTGTATCTGCAGCTGTACTAGTATGACAGCCTGCTCTGGGAAATTTACATTCAGTGGAACTTCAGCCTTAAAGATTTGTAGCCATTTTCCTGTAAGTTCTCAGAAAGATATATGATTAACTTTATAAAGCAGCTTCTATTGAGTTTTTGAACACAGTTGTTTGGTGGGTTGTTTTGTTTATTTGTTTTAATTAGCCTAAAATGAATTTATTTTATAAAATCAAAAAGATACAAATGAAAATAAATTGTGTTCTGTAGCTGTCACTTTGAAAAGTTTTCCAGCAGCAGAAGCCGCTAGAGAATTATCTTTTGTCAGATTGTCTCCCCTTAGACCACTGTGCATGAAGAAACTCAGGCTAATTAGTAATTTTTTATAGAATTGCCCCATCAACTGTAGGTCCTGTGCAATCACCTTTCCTAAACAAAATACTGCTTATCTAACCATTTCATGGACAGTAGTGATCTAGTAGAAAAGCAAGATGCAAAATTAAGAGTAAAAGAACAAAAAAAATTTCTATATTTTTCTTAAGCAACAGGTGTTGACAGATCCATAAACAAAGAACTGATCAGGAATAATTCCTTAGAACGTTCTTGTAAGTCTTGGCTTTCTCACAAGATTACTGCAGTCTGATATGTAGTTGTTCTGTTCTAGAAACCCTTTCCAGCTTTTGAGGAAAGCAAAAATCATGGATCACTCTGTACACTCCAGCTGGAGAGGGCAGTGGAATTTCAGTAGCATTCTTACCCAGCCACTGCACTTTTTACACCCAACAGATCTCTTAGGTTTGCAGATTTTTGCCGGTGGTGGCATTTCCATAGTACTTTGTGTACCTTTTATGTAAACGGTATTTGGTTAATTAATTTGAAATACAGCAGTGTGGCAGGAGTGCTTGTGATGCTTTTTACTAGTACTGTCACTTCAAGTTATTTTCAAAACTTGTTACTTATAAGTCCTGGGAAATAAAATCTCCCTCCTTCACTGTATATCATATATATTCACTAGAGGAAAACTGTTTAGATGTATACATGTTTTCATTGTGGGCATGTTGTTCCAGTCCTCCTGCATCGTCACTGTCTCCTGAAAATTGATCAGGAGGCAGACGGGTTATAAGACCTTCAATGCCACCAGCTTCTTCAATACTCTTAGTCTTTCTTATAAAAGAGAACAGTGAGAAGGAGTAAGAAAGAATTGTCAAGCCCTGGAAGAAAAAGATCCCTATTACTCTTGACAAAGAACTTTGTATTATTAATTCTGCTTTCTGTTTTATTCCTAAATTCTCATCTACCTTTCCCTCCTCTATGCTGTTCATGATGACTTGATCTGCTGCCCCAGAGAGACTAAGTCATTCAGAAACAGGAAAGAGAACAAAACCTCAAGAATCTAGGAGAAAGGAGAAAGCAGTTTTCCTGAGGGAGGAGAGGAACTATTAGCAAAGAAAATCTCCAGAAAGCTGAAAAAGAGTGGAAATGTTTTGTTTCTTTGGGAATGCACTGTGTAATTCTGTTGCTAAATAAAGCAGGGTATTTGGTTAGAGCTGATTATTAACATATGTTTTGTTTTAAAATCTAATAAGTATTCATGATTATTAGTGAACCTGTTGATTTCTAGGATGTTATCCATGGGAGTAATATATAAGGATTTAAAACCAAAGTCCAATTCCTTGTGGAAGTTGATGTTCCATTGAGCTAACAGGAAAAAAATTATTGCTGATTGTAGACTTATCAGAGATTCTACTTGGGGTCACCATAGCAAAAAAAAAAAAAAAAAAAATCTCCAGTTTCTTTTTGCACACAAGACAGTTTTGGCTCAAGACATAACCAACATTTTGCCAACAAAGCATTTTGAAACCCAAATGAAAGCCTGAAGTAAAATTCCAGTTCATGGATAAACTGACATTTAGTCTAGTGACTTGACTGCCCATTTTCTGACTGCATGAGTAAATTTATCTAAGAATTGTGTTGTGTATATGTTGAAATAGTGCATCCTGAATGTTTTTTTCCTAATGGTGTTGAATATTATAATCTACAATATATTGTACTTGCCCTTTTTTTTTTTTTTGGTCTGGCTTAATTTCTTAATTTGGGAAGAATCTGGCTTGCCTAGCTGGGTGTAAAGAATGGAAAAATGCAAACTGAAGTGAGGTAGAGTGCAAAAGAAATCACTTCTCAAACGCTGGCATCTGTTGAAACTCTTAACTACGCAACAAGCAGGCAATGAAGACTCCACTGGTTCTTTGACTAAGAGAGGGAATTAATGAGATACACTTTCCTCTTTACATGCCCCAGTGGCATATTGCTGACAGGCAGATGTTTATCTATGAGCATCTATGATCTATAGCATTCAAACCATTTTCTGTTTGCAAAACGTGTCTTTGGCTATCTGACTGCCTTGGCAGATGGTCCAAATGCAGATTGGAGATGGAGGCTGAGTGACTGTCTGCCTGTGAGTACTGGCTTCTCCAGATTGCTTGAGATTTGGTGTCAGTATACCCGTAAGAAATGTTAATGTGTCTTCCCTGCGTGACTTGCAAAGATTAGAGGATATTAGTATTCTTTCCCTGAATTCTCCTTTAAGTTCTCAGAGGAAAAAAAGTAAAATTAAAATTCCCCAAGAGTCATATGTCGTCCAAATGAGATTTTTTGATTTGGGATCCCTTCTTATTCTGAAAAGAATATCGAGAAGAAATGAAACAAACCTCTAATAACTAGAGGGACCAAGTTGGTTGTGTGGAGAGAGGAAACAATTGTAACAGTAGGAATGAGCATCATCATACAGGACAGACTTTTAGCAAACAGTCTAAGAGAACTTCCTTAAAATAGGCTTTGGAGATATTTATAGAAACTGGGAGAAGGAATGTCTTCTGTTCTCTTGCCAAGTTCTGTAGCTGTACAATCATGTGCAACAGAATGTAACACAGAATGCAGTTTTGATAGGAGGTCTTTTTAGGAGCAACTGATCCCAAATAAAAGAAACCAAAAGTGATGAGTTCGTTAGCTTAAAGGTATTCATACCAATTAATGAAGTTAAACTGCTTTCAGAGGTTGCAGATCACTTCAGAGGAAATAAAAATTGTTTTGTCCCTATTTTGCTGTCAAGCTACTTTGTCGTACACCAGCATTTTCTTTTCCTATATGAGTTTTGCTCATATAGGAAATATATTTCTTCCCTAAAGAAAAGGTACAAAAATGAAGAAATCAGACCAAGGCAAGCAACCAAGGCTTCCGAAGATGCCCTGTCCTTTTTGTAGACTGTAGTGGCCAGAAGGCAATGGTGTACTCTCGCGTCTGTGTTCCTTTGCCTTTGTTCGTGTCAGTGGCAAAATATATGGAAGTAATTAATTGAACTTTTATTGCTTGGTTGACTTGCCAGAGTGTTTACTGCTGGTTTGTTAAATGAGTGTGCACCACTGACAGGAGTTCCTTTAAGTGGTAGTATCACACCCTGCCTAATCTGAATAAAGCAAAGCAAGAGACAGTTTGGATATATTTTATTAACTATCTCAGATTATTCAGACTGGAAGAGTTTTCCTTTTGAGTCCATATTATGTGAATTGCTTCTTCTTTTATGATGCTGTTTATGTTGTGACTGTATTAGTATTCCACAAGGATAATTTTTTGTGATGTAAAATAAATATTTCAGCGAGGAAATGTTTCCTGCAAGAGGATCTTCAGATATGTGTCATTGGAAAAATGCAGTTGATAGATGATTTATTCCATATCAGTTGCTGGTTAATGAATGTAAAAATTCATTTGTTCCTACATTGTTTGACAGACTGCCGTTACCAGATCATAAATTTATGGGCTACTGGAAAATCAATCAGCCAGGGAGTGCACAACAGAAACTGCTGTGTCCAACAGAAACTCAAAAAATAGATGTCAAGGTTTGTCTTTTTATTTTCTTTTAATTTCATGTAATACTGGTTTTATGTATTGGGATGCAAAGAATCTAAAATGTGATTAATTTCTTCAGGAAAAAGAGTATATGCAAAGCGTGGTCCTTGTTAACCTGTTCTTCAGGTTTTTAAACTGACTAGAAAAATAAATGCTTTTGTATACTAGCCCTCACAATGTGTGATGTGCTTTAAAACTGGTAAGTATGGTCAGAAGTTCTTGAACAGGGGTTTTTATAAGGATATTGAAAATACCATGTTTGAAGGAATTTTTTAGCTGTTTTAGATGCATGGAGGTGGCCGGTTTTAGGCCCCAGATCTCAGATTTTGGATAAGATTAGAGACTGAAAAGAAAGCTGTTTTCTGTTTCTATTTTACCTGCAGCTGAATTCTTATGGGTCTTTGGCACTGCCAAGTTTGAATCTGAACCTTTGGTACAATTTAACCTGCAACCCAAAGCTTATAAGGCCTTTTCAACTTTGAGTTCTTCGCTTAACTTCAGTAATTATTACTCCAGTGAATAAGGAAAAACCTGAACTGCTAGTGTGATGTAGGGATGAAATTTAAAATTTATATAATAAGAAATTGCCATTGAGCTTCTTTGAAACAAAAATATTCTGATTTTTTCATTGTGTGGACTGTGTTTTGTCAATACATTACTACATCCTTCATGACAAAGTTTCAAACCAACAAAAGACTAAAGAGGAAAGGCATGGTGTTTTCTATACTGTAAAGCAAATGGCAATATGGACATTCAGACAGCTTGCAGAAAAGCGTTTACTTTTCCCTTTCATTTATTTAGTAATTGATCTGTTTCAATTGTTGATTTCAAAAATCGTTAAGTTTTAAAAGTCTTGCAGAAGACTTCTAGATTTCCATAAAGAATGGTGAGTGAAATATTTTAGCAAGCCCTCATTGTTGTCATTTGTTTTAGGGCCCTATCTACTTAAATATTCAAGGATTTCCACTGGAACGACATGAAGCCAGGTCCCTCAGTTTTACGGAAGAACTCGCATTTTGGACACTGCCTTTGGGGGAAGTTAACTTAGTTTGCGATGTTACAGTAACAAAAGGTGCGGTAAGAAAAGCTAGTAACTTTTGGAATGATCCCCAATGTTATAAATACATGAAATATCCTAGAGATGAGAAAGAACTAGGTTGTTGACTTCATAAGTGCTCACTGATAACCAGTGGCAGAATGTAAAAGGGCAATATGAGTGGTTCTAAGTGTAATAACACCACTTCAGTGTATTTACAATACTGTGTATTTCTGTTTGCAACGGAGTACAGGAATAATACTAAGAATTGGAATATGGAAATGGAGGATATGGAGGGTAGGAATGGAGTATAGGAATAATTTATCTTTTTGCACTTTTCTTAACAGTAGATAAAATACAAAATAATCCGCCACTGAAATGAGAGGATAATTTCACTGAGACACTGTGGTCTTTGTAAGGATATGCATCCTTCTTAAACTGAGAGAAGGATATATAATTAAAGTAGAACACAGCCACAAAATTGCAAGTCTGTCTAGTTTTTATGTTCAATACTGTATTGCTTCAGAAAAACAATTCTTTGAATTTTCCTATCTCTCTAAGTCAATTCAGTTTTAATACAAATCATGTAAGTTGCACAGTGCTGGGCTTTTTTTCTCTGTGCTTATACCGATTAAAAGTCTTTCTCGCTGGATCAAGCCTGCCTTAGTTATCTATATTGCTTGTGTTCCGAAGTGAATTGCATCATTGGGAATATTCATAAATGTTTTTAGGGTTCATCGCAAAACATGTCTAAACTTTATTGTGCATTGTAAACAGATCGCTAATGATCAGTACTGGAATGCTGCCTTTTCTGCTTGTAGCCATAGTTTCAAATACATTAACAAACTTTTATGACAGCGAAACAGAAATTACATGGCTTTGGATTGATTTTAAGAATTGTCTCAAATCAGTCAGGAAGGTGCTATATGTGCAAAGTTACATGCAAAGTTTGCATTCATCACATGTTTAGTTATTAAACATGTTAATCGAAAAGGAAGATGACATAGAGGAGGGAGAACCGAGTTTATAAACAAACAAAAACATCTGGACAAATTTTGTGTATACTAGCAGCTGGCAAGCACTGCAGTTGTATCTACACAAATGTGCCTTGGACTACTTGTTTAAAAAGTGTTGTGGCAAGAATCTGCCTGTTAATGTTTAGTTAATATGAAGAGACCATTTCTCTCACTGTTTTCCTGTGTCAATGGCGGTGATTTTGCTGTATGTTTTGCTATATCATCTGCTGAGTTTATGACGTATATATTTCCAGAAGAGCAATGCATGATGTCAGTAGCCTTTTCTTAATTTTATTTTCTTATTTCAGAAGAGGAAGCTGAAAATGTTCTTTACGTAACTACATGCAATCCTGTTTCCTTGTACTTCATGAACGTTTCTGGTAAGAGTGGATACTTCGTGGATCTTTATGACCTCTTCCCAAGAACAGTTGGAAGTGTCTGGCAGCCTTTTGTGACTGTGGCACCACTGGGAAATCCACTGAAAGGTCAAGTGGTTCTACATGAAGAGGAGGTAAAAAAAAATAAAATATGGCTAAATGTTCAGTGATGAGCAAAGTAGTATCATAAGGGTAGGATCACTGAGGAGTCTACCTCGATAGGTTGAAATAGCCTGGACAAGCCTACCCCCTTCTCAATGTTCTCTTTTTCACTTGAAGCATGGGAGTTGCTTTCAGCTTTAGTTTTTATGTGGAGATTTTCCTCTTGCACTTTTTATCTGGACAATGTCCTTTTGCATTCTTGAAGATGAGTTCTACCTGCTTATCTTATTTCTTGGACTGATAGGGGGAGCTTGGCCTTCATGGGAGAAAGGGAGATAGTGAGTTGAGTTCAGGGCTCTCAGTCAAGTAGCAAATGTTTACAAAGTACAAAGTAAACTGTTTTATGCTGTGAACTTCAGTTGTGCTCCTATATTGTCCCCTTTTTACTTTTCAAATAGTATGTGAAAGAGACATTTTCTGAGTTGCAAAGTAAAATGTTGCTTGTATTTGCTCTGTGCCACTATTTTGGATTTGTTTTGTGAATCCTGACATTTCTCATTCTGTAACATCTGAAGCACCAAGACTAGAAATACTATGTAAGCCTTGACATCTTGTGTGTCAGCAATACAAATTTAGAACCACTGATGACTTCAGTGTTGATTTGACTCAAATCCTTTTTTTAAAGTCAAGTGTTGTATCTTGTCCACATACTTTCCCCTTTCCATTACCATCAGTGAACTGATTAGGACATTTCCAATTCAAAACATGTTTGCCCAGGAGTGGGAAGAGACAACAGTTGGTACAGTGCTGATTCTGTTCACTTTTTATTATTAATAATAGTTTATTATGTTACCTACCAGTCATAGTGGTTTGACATGGGCATTTAATCTGGTCGTTATTGTTGGTTGTTTTTTCCTTTTCCTTCTCTCGTTCTGAATTTCTTCTGCCCATTTTTCAGTAGGTGAGAGACTCCAATCACAAAGAACCTTTCCTACACTGAGTTGGAATATTAAGTAGTTTTCAGTCATTTCATAACTAGTGTCTCGGCCATACTGTTGTTCTAGGAATGTTTGTCAAGTGTTGATGCCACTTTCTGGTCTCAAACTCTACAGTTAAGCTTCCTGCTTTATGAGAAACACAATTCTTCCAGCTTTAGTAGAACTGCATATGCCTTCCTTAGCTTTGCCTTGGACACTTTCCAATGCCAACTAGAAAAAATATCATTCTGAAGTTACCTGCTTGTGGTGGTTGCCTGTGCAGTTGTCTTCAACAGCTATAGAAGTACCATTTTGGGCTATTTTGAAATGCATGTAACAAATTTGTTCAGTTCTAAACAATCCTTGGCCTTTTTTGGCGAAGTCAACGCAGGAAACTGTAAAACAGATGGCAGTCTATCTTATGTCTAAGAATGTTTAGAATGTCTCACACTTTTAATATAAAGTCCAGCAATATTCTTTGCTTTCTAAGTCTCTGAAATTCCTACTGTGAAAATAATTGTGCTGCTAGTTTTGTTTTTAAACAAATCACTGTAGCATTTGGTGTCAGCAATGAAGTCTTTATCTAAGGTTCATCCATAAAGCTTTAGGTAGTTAACTCAGTGACTGGTTTTGCCTGCCCTTGTAGAATATCTTTTTCAGTGACTGAAATAAAGTTTGTTCTGTGGAGAGACTGTGGTAGCTCAGTGCCCCTTTCCAGGTGACTTCAGTTGAGCTGTAACCTCATGTTTTTCTTTGACAAAGCTTAAATATTGCCAGCTTCAGTCTTGCCTTTCTTAGCAAGTGCTACAGTTGAACAAATCCTGTCTGTAAATAAGCCTGATGGAAAATTTTACACTGATGGAAAATAATACAGAATTACAATATTCTGAATGCTTTGCATTGTCAACATTAGGATAGACCTTATTCATTGAGTGTGAAAATATGTTTTATTAAACTACAAACTTGGTTGCAAAAAGTAATTGTATACTTACAACAGGATTCAAAATTAATTTTAGACTTCTTGAGGAAATTAAGTAAGCATCTTAAATAGAAAAAAATATTTTAAAGGATTCTCTTGTGTATTACATGTTCGTATCCATGGACTACATTAGTAATTTATTTCGAATTAGTTCTTAAATGAGGCACCAAAGCACAGGTCAGACAAATGCTGCTGTTGTAGTCTTCACAGCAACTGCTGTCCTTCCTTATGTTAGGGCTCATGTGTTAGGATCTCTGCATTTCTAGTTCACACTGAATCAAAAGAGGGATTCTCAAGTAGTTTAATTTTTCCACGTAAAGCCTAGGTTTTGTTCCCAACTCTTCCTGCAGTGGAGCCATGCAAAAATCATGTGCTTTCTTTGTGCACATGTGAAGTGAAGTGGGTATTGCTGTATATGGTGGTGGTGTTATCAGGTAAGCATATAGTCTAAGCGAATAAGCCAAGTACCTTCTATGTCTGTTGGGAGGATAAAGGTGATCTGCAAGAGTAATTCATCCAAGCTAAGGTAGTGCACGGTGAATTGCCCTCTGGAGGTGCCTTTCTCTTTACACTGAGCCTGGACACTATATAGTCAAGGCCACTATAAGCCTTGACATATAGTCAATGTGCGTACCTTCAGGTGTACTAAGGTCACTAGCAGCCATAAACTCAGAATTCACAGCATTCACATATTAAGACAAGTAGGTTAGTGGCTCATCTATATTTTGGGTGAGGCTCCAAGGGTTAGCTGCTTTTGTTAAGGGTGCATCAAACAGATCTTCAAGAAAAACAAGTAATGTAAATGATGTATGTGATGCTTTAGAGGTTCGTCTACTTATACTTGCAAAAACACCAAGAAATATTAACAATATTTGTAGAAATAAGAAGTTACATTTCTTAAATAAAAAGGTCCACTTGACAGCAAATATTTCACAAATAATATAATCCATTAATTAGACAATACCAAAAGGTAAAGATTTTTCCCAGTTTTTTGTTTTAATTAAGGTCTTTGGAGATGAATGTTTCTGACTAAGTTATAAAAAGGAATAATTTTAAATGGATGATAACCTTATTGGAAAGGATGAGATGATGATATTGTGGCTCTTCAAATAAGCTTGTGTGATTTCTTTCCCAGATGACATCCATCTGGTTTCAGTAGAGCCCACCAGTGAAAGAAAATGAAAAATCACCATTCCTTCCTGTCCTTTTAAGTAAAATTTTACTAAAACTGAACTCCTTGGGGATTTAACTTAATAGCACAAATCAGAGATTTGTCTGCTTTTAAGCCACCCTTACATCTTCTTGGAAGAAAGAGTAGATTCTGTTTGTCATGGTGGCCATTGGTTTCGGTGAGCACAGCCTGTTTTGACTCTGTCATCTTTTTGTTCAGACTAAGCTGATAAACTTTGAAAAGACTCTTCAGAAATCTCAAGTAATTTCCTTGTAAGATAGGAGTTGCATTCATCTTTTCAAAGCAGCAGTGCCTCTGCCCTGTCCTCCCCGCAAGTACTTCAGGGCATACCCCCATTTCCTACGAAATTTCATGCCTGCCTGTTTAGCTTTTTCTTTCTGCACCTATTGCTTTTACCACTCAGAAGGAGAGCAAATGCAGACTGAAAAGAATGTTGATAACTTTATGCATGATTTTATAATGGATTATAGGAGGAAGATGCACATGGAGAATTGCATGTAAATTAACTGTGCTCTTCCATTTTTTCTTACAAGTACTTTGCACTGTTGAAAGGCTACGACTGGATGGACGGAGTAACCTACAGTCCTCCTGAAGGAGCACAATGAGCTTTGTGCTCAGGAAGGATGCTGCCAGCATCCTTTAGCTCTACTTCTGTCTTTCTCAGTCAGGAAGTGGGGCAGGGAGGTAGGAAGTGCTTTTCCCTGTCCCATGTGCTGCTGGAGCTCTTTGTCAAAGCTGTCAGATAGCAAGGGAGTGAGGGAGTCTCTGGCACGGAAGCTGACACAGAGATCCACCTCACTTACTACACGTAGAAGATTACAAACATCCTTTAAAAGAAGACTCTTTTTTCAACAGTTTGCAATCTAGCCTGAAATACAAGTGGGGACCTGCATATGGGAGGACCTGCAACCTACTGGTAGTATCAACTGAAACCTCTAGTCCCCGTGATATTCTCATGTATGCATTCAGGAGGAAGGATGTATTTTCTTCAAAAAATAGCCGATATTGTTAAATTATCTCTTTTAATCTTTTGTAAGACCTTCCTTTTCTGTAAGCACAACTTATAGAAGAAGAAAGGTGTGCTTATATAGAAAGGTGTGCACCTTCTATAGAAAAGGTGAAGAGTTTCCTTTTCTGTAAGTCCAAATCTTATATCTCTATTTGCTGTTCTCAGTTCCCTGAAATCTCTAGTACAATCAAGTCTCCCAAATCATCTGAAGGACATTACTCGAATTAACTGAAACACCAGTAATCTACTTGCATGCATTTCCCACTTCTGAAGGTATGGTGGTTTGAGCCCAAAGCCGTAACTCTTCCACAGATTTTTTTCGCTTGAACCTAAGGAACAATATGATATGTCTATATCTGTGCCTAGTATTTACAGCATCAGGATTCTTACCTGTGTTGCTCAAGAGGTCCTTGAGTAGCATGAATAGAAAAGGTGGGACAGGAGGCAAGGAGAGGAACAGAGAGGTTACCCTGCCAAACTAAGGATCAGCCTCATTTGAAGCTGACAGCTAAGGAGAGTCCATGTTTGCAAGCTTGCTTGCTCAAGATGGGAGCATTGAGGGCAGAGAGAATGAAAACTATGACAGTGAGTACAGGGAGAATACAGGAGAGTTAAATGGAATTGTTTGTACTGTCCCACTCTGAAATTGATGCGTGTTCCTTCCTCTAACTCTCCTCTCTGTTTGTGAGACCATAAGGAACAACTTCCCATACCAGCAAAGTGAAATCACAGCCCTGTTTGGTTTAAGAACTTTTAAGAGGAAAATGCTGGCTAAAATAAAAACAGCAGTGAGGAAAGGGAAACTTTGCAGTAACTAAAAATAAAGACACACCACTTGACCAGATTGGTTATTGCATCTGTCCAGAGTTTGGAATTCCAGACACTGGGGTCGGGAGGTTGCCCAAAGGTTACTTTTCTCCCAGTCAAGAACAAACACAGTGGAATTGCACACCAGTGTCTTTTCCCAGCCCACTTGAAGAGTTGCCAAAGCTGCTCTTGGATGTGTTCGCAAATGACGCAAAAATCTATTCTTAAACACAGACAGAATATACATCAGTCACTTAGCACAGAAGGAAACCATTAACATCAAAAGGGGTGGAGTAGAGAGGCTTTTTATATTACCAACTGCTCTCATAAATTTAATGCTAAGTGGAGGAATGTAATTGATTCATATGTGTTTTTATCTCACGTGGAAGGCTAATGCATTGCTTTAGTTCAGTGGTGCTGTTGCAGAATTATATAAATAAAACATGGCAGAAAACCAAAATCCAAAGCAAATGCCCTATTTTGTTTTTTCTGAAACACACTTCTATAATTTTGGTTTGTAATGCATAAGCAAACTTCTTTTTTTAGAGGTATTGAACTCTAGCTGAAATTCCCAAATGCTCCAGATAACGTGGTAATATTTTAAATGCTTTACCATATTTAGCTTCAAATGACTATCATTATTAAATAAAGTTAGTACTCCCAAATAATCCAAGTGAAAGTATGAAGCGTACCCAAAAAGAACAAAACCACTATGACTCAGATTGTTTGTATTTGTTTTATTTAGGAAAATTTGTGGGAATTTATGTTCTACTCTCTTAACGTCTATCGTGCGTTGTTGCAGATGTTGTACGTAGACAGTTTACTTTTAGTAAGTTCTTGCAGAACCTAATGTCCTTGCAGAACCTAACGTTTCCTTGAATGGCAAACAAAAAATTAAACCCAAGGCTTAATTAACTTGTTCTTTTGTACCTTTTAAATTCTGTTTGATGTGGTGAAGGTTAGGCCAGAATTACTGTTCTCTTGTATTCTTAAACGTATTAGGAGCAGCTACACTACTTTGTAAAAAGAAATGTTTAAAATATCCTCATCATTTGACATTATGCATGGACCCTGGGGCATTGAGGAACAAACTGAGAAGTCTGAAGTTCAAAATTTAGCATATAGAATTTTCACATGTGATATGTGGAGGACACTTGCACCACTCTTCAGTATCCTTCTGCTTCTGACCTCCGTCCTTGAGTCATCCTGCTGTCCTCCAACACCTGTTCTGCCTCTGACACTGTAAGCTGCCTGAGCCTGCAGGTCACAGAAGGATTGTTGCCCACAGGGATATTTAATAGGCTCCACGGTATCGTACATATGAACCTGGAGAAAACACACTAAGCCATTTCTTCTCTCACCAGTTTTTCGCCCTCAGTATAACTTAAGTAATGGGTACTTTAGAGGAGTGCTAACAAAACAGAAATGAAACATTTTAGTGACTTGACAGAACAAAACTGTCTTTCACCTGTAGCTGACTACAGCTTGGACCTGTAAACCATACTAGTCTACTTCCTAGAGCTTATGCAGAAGTAAATGTGGCATGTATAGATAAAACATTATGGGAAAACTGAAATATCATTCCAGCCCTTTTTGCATGTACTTAACCTCTGCAATTAAATTTCTCCATGAGCTTTAAAATGAACCAAGATGATTCAGTCTATGTTTTCCAGCAAAATATAGGTCATCTTTTCAAAAAGTCCTAAGTTGCTAGAGTTGCAGAAGTGCTTCAGATAGATTGGTTATAGTCTCTTAAATGACGTTGAGATGTACATGAATCTGCTTTTCATTTACAGAGTAATGTTGTGTTGTTGCTGGATACGAACAATGGTGCCCTTCGCCGACTTGTGCTCTTACCAGATGCTCAAGAATCCCGTAAGAGAACATCTTGGTGGAGCAGCAAAGAGATGGTGAGGAATAATAGCACCTGCCTCTGTAATGCTAAGGGTTTTTTTGAAACCCAAGCTCAATATTGGAAAAATTGCCCCAGGATAGTATTTCTTTGTTTTTACAGCCCACGCACTTAATTCTTTTCTCTTATCTGTGTTAAAATGCCTTACACATAAAATAGCATTGTTATGGAATACTGATGTGAAAAAATATAAGTAAGTTGTATTGTCTGAGGATGTGTATCTTTAAAATATCCCTCTTTGGAGATAGAACTGGGAATATCAGGACATTTTGTTAGAAGGGATTATGTCCCAAATAATGAACTCAGTTATGATGCATGAATAAACAAGGCAGGCTAGATAGCATTTTGAGAGGTAATTAATGCTGTGGATTATTCTAAATAAAGGAAAAATGTCATACACTTTCAGAGGAGTCAGGGAAGCTCACTGGGATGAATCTAACAAACACTAATTGCTGTATGACGTATTTTTATACAGAGCAACTACAAAATGTGCCGAGAGTTTTCACACAAAAACTGGCTGGTGTTCTACAAAGAAGCAGGGGGAGAGTGAATTATATCCTTGTGTTATATTGATTTATAACAGATCTCCTCATGTACATCTCTATCTGATTATTCGTTTCTTTGCTTTCAATTTTACAGAAACCGCCTTATTGTACTGGATGTGTTAGAGGGTCAAACTCATACCATCTTGCTTCCCATCAATCTGAAATCTGTTTTCCTGGCAGCTGAAGACCGGTGGCTTTTGGTGGAAAATGAAATGAATCAGTTAGTTAAGCCTAATTTTCTTAATGACATTATTTCTTGTTTGTGTCTGGTTCATGTTCAGGAGTTTCTTCACTCCTGGTCCTGGTTGTTTTTTCAGTTTGTGAGACTGGCTAGACTTAAACAGCTGGTGTTTAAGATGCAGATTTGCTCTGGTGAATGTGCAGGTAGGCTTTTAGAGTAGGAAATGAGCAGGATATGCCTGCCTAAATTCATGTCCCTGAAAATCTAGACTAGCTTAGATTCTGTGCATGTTAATACTGTTTTGACTGAGGTGGTTATTATCTTTAGAAATGAGAATGTTGGTGGACGTAGCTTTGGAAATACAGCCACGTCGTCCATAGTTAGTGCCTACTTGTTTTACTTTCATGGTCTCGTGAAAGAAATATTATTCTGCTGTCTTACTTTTATAAATGCACAGCAAATAAAAGTGTGTAGTTACCAGAAGACAAATCTGCCACTTGCTGGCTTACCCTTTCCTATCTCACAGATGTTTGGTAAATCATATCTAGTTTTAACAAAAGGTGTTGATAACCTTGTTTATGTAAATGTAGAATGTTTTTGCTATTTCAGAAGGCAAAAGTCCTTGTTTAGTGTTACAAGCTTAATCAGGAATTATTATAAATGTGTATCCTTTACAGGAAATTTCTTTTAACCAAGCATGCCCATATGGAAGCTGAAGACAGTGAGGTTTGCCAGCTGTATGCACTGAGTGAAGAGCCAGCTGACATGGGATTTGGCTTAACAACAGGTACTGAATGCAAGCTTGGCTTTTTAATAATTTCTGTGTTTGCAGCTGCACAAACAAGGCTCTTTTACTGTAAAGGTCTGGGTAGCCTTCTCTCTGATTCCCTTTTTGTCCTCCCCTTATCATGCTTGGTTAATAATAACTTTTCACAAAGCAACTTAGGTTGTTTGAATTAAGTATCTTTGTTTCATTGCAGCATTTAAGACCCTCAGTCATGGACCTCCAGGAAACATACAAGCATACAGAATGGAAAAGGAAAAAAGATTACTAGGCAGGAAATAGAATAGAGGAATAGAAATACGTTGATGAGTCCAGTATGTACGCTGTTGCAGCTGTTACATGAGCTACTCAGATGAGCTAGGAGACATTTCCCAAAACTTATAAAAATAGAAAGACCTACTGTTAGAACAGAAGTCACAGTTTCTAAAGTTCTGCAGATAGTGTGCAAGAGGCCACTGAGGCCATCACACCTGTGTTAAAAGACAGGGGGAATTTGTTTGGTAAAATTCCCAGGTGGTATGAGGCATTGAGGCATATCTTAGCTACAGAAGAAGGCAGAGATCTCCAGTGGTCATCATTCTGCCTAGTAAGATCTGCCTGTCTTCAGATCTGATGACATTTTCAACCCTGAGCATTTGATCATGGTGCACAAAAATCTTTAGTCTTCCTGGTTCTGTAACACTGGAAGTACATGTACATCCCACCTAACAGTTTATAGGCTTTGGCCTGTCTGCAATGTGTCTCAAAGAGACAGAGAAAAAAAATAGAGAAACCCTTTATATCTGTTAAAGAGGGAAAAAGTTTCATCCTGGTCGTTGTGGCTAGCATAAGTTTGAAGAATTAGATTCAAATGAGATTAACACATGTAAACATAATACAAGCAAATGTTATTGACAGATAACAACTTTGGCTTGTTTTACACAAACAGCAACAAATTGGATACCTAAGACTCTAACCACAGCTTAAATATATAGGGTCCTTTTTATCCCTTGTACAGTTTACTTTGTCAGTTTATCAAGCTCCATCAGAGCACAGTAGCTTCCTTCCTCTTACTACCTTATTTAGAAATCATTATAGAGTATCATTCCTCAGATGGGTCAGAACATTAATATAATTTCCAGTCTCAAAGTATTTGTGGACAACTTATGAATACATGCTTTTTGTGCTATTTTTATCCTTTGTTATCTTATTTCTTCTCTTCCAATGTAAAAAGTTATCATATCCCCTCTCCACGTTTTTCCAAATCATCCAGCAAACCCCAAATGTAACATCTTCAGCCTGTTCTCATTCTTTGAGGCAGAACCTGTGGCAGGAGAGCTAAGAAAAGGTAGACCAGAGTGAGTTTGCCACTGACCCAAACCAGTAGGCCATTCATCCTTTGAGAGAGGAAAGATTTTATCCTGCTGCCAGGTAAATGAGATAGACTACTGCCCATTGAAGTGGAAACACTGTGTGCTTCAGAACTAAAGATAGCAAGTTCTGACTGTGTTGATAATTTGAGGCAAGGAAAAGGGCTGTTACAGTTGCACAGAATAAAATTTAGTTTTCCTTAGCTTAAAGAAAAAGAAAACTAGGCCATTATTTACCAGAAATGTGTTACAAATAACATTATCTAAATTGCAAAGACAGCAAGACAGCTACCAAGAAATGTCACGTTGACACCTACCTGTGCAAACCTACATTTTTGTGCATTTGCATTATAACAGTCTTCGGTGGCATCACATGCTGTTCTATTCCATAGGCTTCCTGCCTCATTTGCACAGTAGAGGGCAAAATTAAGTGGTATAAGGAACTACAAAGCTAGAATTTCCTGATTTTAAGTCCTTTACAAAAATAACATTATTTCCTGGCTTCTTTTCTGTGTTATGGTATAGTATAATCAAATCTTCTGTTTTTTAGTAATTTTATGCTCAAACTAATAGCAATGATCAGTGCGCAGCACTCTTACAGTTAATATTGTTTCCCATTGCACATCTGGATTTGATGACTTTCATTTTGTTTAATTTCCCTGTTTAGCGTCAGAACTGTGTGTGCCGCACGCAGTTTCAAGTGACCAGCTATCTTCAGAAAACCTCAGTGCAGCTGTGGGACAAAAGATCAGCTCCCCCAACAGGATTTTCTCAGATGAACATAATTATGCTACTGTTGTTATTGGTTTCCCAGACCTCTTGGTAAATACTCAGCATTATTATACAATGAAGTAATATGATCTTATATAATCTGTAACCAGTTAGTAACTATTTACTAAATGAGATGAAAAAAGAAGGGAATGACAGTAAATTAAAAATTCATGTAGCGTACACCATTTGGTAGGGTAGTCTAATCTAGAGGGATTTCAGTGGAGTTTGAAATAGTAAGAAATTGGACAACATAATGTCTAGCACAGATAAAATTCATTGTAGGTAAATTCTGAATAGTGCTGGCAAGAGGAGTATTTTCTAAATCATGTGTTTTTATAGATTTTTAATTAAATATAACCACTTAGAAAAAGGTTATAATTATTATTTTGGCCTGCTCTGTGTAAATTTTTGCTCAATGTACTAGCAAGACTCTAGATTTAAGAAAAGCAAAAAAGATACAGAAAATGTTAACAAAACTGTACAGCCCCATCACTATTTAATAATGTAGTTAAGTGTAAATACTGCATGTAATTGTACTCACTCTTTTAGAAAAGAGCCAGAAAGGAAAGTGAAACTTAACAGTGTGATGACTAAGACTGCTGCAAGGAGTGGAATTAAACACAGGGAAAATACAAGCAGTATGTTTAATTCTTTGGATTTATTTATATTTACTACCTAGCGATACATTACAAGGGTGGTGCTTATGGAATAAATAACTCTCTGTCATATTTGCTTAATAAATTGGAGCAAATCAGAAAATTTAACTGTTAACAGACATGAATTTTGGGCAAGCCAAATGATTTAAGAAAATACACTGAAATCCAGAATTATTCAAAAATGTTTTTGTCAATAAGACATTACCTGTCTTTGCAATTAGCTTTTGAGTTTTACTTGATTTTAATTTTTATTACTATATTGCTTATACTAGCTTTTCATATTATTTGTAATAGATGTGAGTTTATTGCTGGGAAGAGGAGGTAGTCTAGAGGAAAGAGTACTAAAGATGCTAGACAGTTTAATACCAACACTGGTGATGAATACTCTCCCTGATTTAGACTGAGGCTCTGTCTTTCTTTATACATGGTCTTAAATGTCCATGTGAATGTTAAAGAGGGAGTGATAAAGGTGAATGTGAGGGTGGTGGGACAAAACTTCAGATTCAGTGTTTAGTGTTAATGGTGTAGGTGTTCAGTATGAACAAGGTATCTAAGCTCTTGTAGTAGCAATGCTGAGCTGACCAAATGTAGAGGCCTTCTTCAAGACAAGATGTTTTTTCTCTAAGCTGTACAGACTATAGTGGGAGATGAAGCACCTGGCTCACGTGTGGACACCTACATTTATGTCTCTGAACCTGGAGCCAAATCCTAGCCTTAGTGCCTTTGTTTTCAAAGCTTTGAATTCATTACTGAAATATCTGTTTGCATTTAACTACATTAGTTGAAACTTAGATTATGGTAACAGTTAGTTATGTAGTTTGATTCCAGACTAGGTTATTTCAATGATTTCTGTTCCTGGTTCAACATGAAAAAAATGTTGATTCAGACAGATCTTCAAAGAGTCTCAATTCCTAAAACTTGTGTAGGTGGTCTGTTGTTTTTCACTGCTATAGGAGTTTTTAATGACAAAATAATCCAGGTCTTTTCCTTGTCATGTGGTGACAGGAGAGGTAACCACAATAGCTACATTTGGTTTGAAATTAGATAGGAAGTGGAACTTATCAAGAAATGTTTATTCTTAGGCTCAATAATAGTAACATTATGTTCAGTAGACTCCTTGTCTCTTGCAGTCTCCTAGTGAAGTGTATAGCTGGAAAAGAAACTCCTCTCTGAGTCGCAAGCGTGTGTCTCCTTCTGATCCCTTTTATTATGGACCCCGGAGGAAAACGGGAGCTGCAAAACAAACCAATTGTGTAACTTTATTGGCTTCTAATCAAATAGTCAGAATTTTAGCACCTGGAGATGTGCCTTTGAAAGACATTTACCCGAAAGGTAAGAGGTTCATGTACTTGTGCTGCAGCAACTGTACACACTTGTTTTTGTTTTGTAAACTGCAATCACTCACAAATTTTTCCGAAATGTTTTTAAAGAATCACAAAGCAAGCATTTGAGGAGGAATGGTAGTAGTTACACTCATTTTAAAAATTAATTTGGATCTTATTAACACGCTGAATTATACTTCTGAGGAGTTAACAGGCTACCTACACTGTGAATATCCCAGTAAATGGGATCTCCCTTTGTCCATTCTGGGAACCAGCTACAGGAATATGATCATTCCAGGTCAGCAGTTGACCTTCACCAGTATTTCCAGCCTCTGCTCAGTACCACACAGACATGCAGTGATAAGACAAACCTGTGCACTTCTGTGTCTTTCCTGTCATACTTTCTTAGCATTTGCATTTTTTCTGTTAGGCATGTTGTGGGGGATATCCCTGCCTCAGCCTTGAAATCTCCTTTTATAGACCTGTTGTCCACAAATTTGGTCCCTCTTTAAACCTGTGCATCTTCACAGCAAGATCACAAATTCACTGCTCTCTGTGATCAGCTGATCTCCTACCAGGCTTATGGAGTGCCCCTCATTCTAACATTGCAGGGTTGGGTGAATAACAGCTCTGCAGTCACCTTAGCCATCACCTTCATGACTTTGTAAACTTCAGTCACATCTGCCTTCTCTCCAAACTGAAGAGACACAGACTTTTTTAGTTCTTCTCTTATCACATACAGAAAAACCGTCCTCCACTTGTACACTAATAAAGCAGGTGTAGACTGCTACTGAAAGGATAAAACATTTACTTGACTAAAGAAGCAAAGTCAAGGATATAAACAGGGTAGAAAACTGAAGTTATCTACATTTGTAACGAAAAGGTTAGCTTTTAAAAAAATTAAACTGAATAAAAAGGAGTTAGCATGATGATCTTGGAACTAATTATACTACTTCAGGATGTAATCTTCTCCTACTTTTTCAACTGATGAAAGGTAAGACTGGGTCATCTTTTTTTAGGCTTTCATGGTAAAAAAAAAAAAATCTGGCTGTGAAGTGGATGGTATAAACATCCAGAAGGTAAATCTTCTGATCTTTTGTTAAAATTTGAGAGTGGGGGAGGGATACTTCCAAATGATACCTAAAATTGAGATTTTGACAGTTATTTCTAAAAGTCTTTTAAGTTGCTGTGGTATATAACACTTTATAATGCTACACTAATAAAATTAAAAGCACGGGACATTCTTCATGAATCCTGGATACCAGTGACCTGAGAAAATTATCTGTCTGAGCATTGGCTTCTGTCTGACCAAGGAATTTAATTTATATCTGTTGTTATAGCTGAACAAGATACTAACTTTTTTTTTTCCTCAACTGTGGTGAAATATATGCATGAATTGTGATTGATAGCTTTAAATTTATAGAAGATTTTATGAGGTACAGTTTGGACAGTGCTTTATGGCCATTTAAGTTGGAAGATTTAAGACCTTTTTGAAGACCGTTATCATTGATTTTTCTTTTCTAAATGGAGTTTTAATTTATCAATTACCAAAACTGGTCTTAACAGAATCATGTTTAATACAACCTTACTGATACAATTAAATTGGACCTGAGCAACATTCTAGGTTTTCTATTCCATAGCCTTTTTTCAGGACTTCAGACACTTCCATTTGTCAGTTAATGGTCAGTTTTCCTAGTGGAGCTATGAGTGGAGTTCTACAGAGACCTGGACTACTCAGCCTGGTAATGGAAAAATGAATGAACAGTGAGGTGACAGTGTTTGCTGACGATACAGGTTATTATTCATGGTAAAAAGGATTTGCCATGAAGGATTATAGAAGGACTACAATGCTGACTGCAATAGAAATGACAGATGAAACTCAGTATAGATAAATATAATGTACATGGAGGAAGAAAGAAAGAGTCCTAATTCTACATCTAAAGTGATGGGACTGAACAGTACATCTCAGGAGCATGATCATTTTGGTGTTATGATAGTTTCATTAAAATATAAGTTCAAAGAGAGACGGGATACTAGATTAGAGGGACCCAGTGTTGTCATTGTCTTGGCATGAATCCAAAATCTTTCCAAGTGAAAATGGGAAGACAGAAGAGAAGAGATGTGCATTCATATACTCACTTGGAAGGTGAGATTATAAGGTACTAGTCCTTACTGTGCCGTTTGAGATCCAGTGTTTGCAACCCTCTCTGCTGGGCTATTGTTTCTTCTGGAGTTTGCCTCTCAGTCTCACTAATTGACAGAATATTTAATTGAGTGCATATTTAACTGCTACCAGGAGGTGTGTAACAGTCTGGGCCCCATGGAGATTAGGCATTTCTTATTCCTGATTGTGCTGCATAATTCATGGAGGCCTTTGGACGTTTGATGATTTGTCTGTGCTGTTGTTTCTGCACTGGACACCTGTAGTTACTTACCTGTGGAATTTGTATAAGGCTTCATTCCTAAGTCTTTGTATCCTTTCCTGGGAGATGGTATAGTGAAGCAAAGGTGTCCTATTACATAAAATGGAGTATGTCACAGTCCCTTGAAGTTCTTGCACTAATTCTTACATTGGCTTTGAGTTGTTGCTTTATATTCCCACTTTAGTTTGTGTATCTATCAAGCTTTCTTTCTCATCTTCTTGGACAGCTGGTCAGTTCTGGCACGCAGCCTTCAATTTCTATTAATAATTCAAAGTACTCCACCAAACTCTAGTGTACTCCTATGTGTATTACTGAAACTGTTCCAGGAACAGCAAGCAAAAAAATAATTTCCTTTATGTTTTATCGGAACTGTGTAACCAGGATAATAGTCATGTTTGAAAAGAAACAATAACAAGCAATAATTTCCCCAAAGACAGACAAATAGATATATGGCCACAAAATATAAACTCGGACAAGAGATCATGGCAGAATCCAGCAACTGAGTATTAATGTGTATTCTAAAAACAAGGCTATAGAAATAACCACAACTTGAGAGCAAATATTTACTTGGTTTCTCAGCACTTTCTACATGTGAATATAAAATAACAGTTTATTACTGAGTGTGTATCTCTGTTAGTGTGACAGTAACTGGAACAACACATAGTGTAACACACACAGTTACAGGAATAACCTCAACATGTCATCTGGTCCACCTGCTTATAAAGGGACAGGATGACACATGTTTAGACTCTGCTTAACTGGTGTTTGTCAAACAATTGGCCTATTGCAGTGCTTCACTCTCCTTATATAAGAAAAGCTTTTCCTAGTATCCAGCGTTTTTGCTGTAAACGAAACTGAATACTTCATGTCGCCTCCACTCAGTCAGGGTAGTATTGCTCTCTTTATAAGGATCTTTTTGATATTATGGGACTTTTTTTTTTTTAAATCTCTTTTTAGAGAAATAAAAAAAGTTAATTCCTTATATTTGTCCTTACAGCCCATCTGTTCTAACCTCTTTTGTCACCCCTAGGAGTACTTCATGTGTCTATGTTTTCCTTAAAGTTTGATGTCTCGAGCTGTGTATAGCTATTCTTCTGCATTTGGCTTTGGCCAAAGAGGAACAAACTGCACTTTTTAAGGTTTGATGTTCATATTTAATCATAAGATTCTTGACTGCAGTTCTGGAGTCTGGCCAGTTTTCCTGTGTTGCATTTAAACATTTGCTTACCTGTTCTTCAGATTCTTACTCTGCAATCCTTTGTCTTTTTATAATTTAATTTGGTTGATTTGTGTTCTCTCTCTAAATTGTTAACTTAATTATTAATTCTTATCCCACAGTTCTACCCCTTCCAGTTCAGTGTCAGCTCTGTGTTCTAGATCTTTGTCAGAATCTTTAATGTGTATCTTATTCTCCATTACTACCAAAAGAGAGATCACATTTTAAAACACTGACAAAATCTAGGCAAAACAAAAAGTGCTCTGTGGCCCACAAACCTGAATTTTTCCTGACTTTTTTTTCCTATTTCTAGTGTGTTTGATATTTCTATATTTATGAAGATTGAGTAAAGTCAACAGATGTGGTACTGTAGATAAGCGTAGTAGAGATATGTAGATACGGTAGATATGCATCAAGTGCTGCTGTGGATTATTCTTTAGATTTATTTGAATGTTAGATCCTCTTATACTGCTGAACTTAATGGTCTTTTCTGTGTGTGCTGTACACAAGCATCAACACTTTTGCTGGTGATGTCAGTGTCTCCTTCATTTCAAGGAGGTGAAAGATACGTTGTTTCAGAAGGAAATCTAGGTTTGCTTTCATCTTGTTACAATGATATTTTGTACCCACACTACCTAGTGTAATTCAGTCTTCTGGTTTCTTTTTTGAAAAACTTCAGTTCCTCAATTTATTCCAGGCAGATGAAAGCCATCTCCTAACTGGAAGCCATTTCTGAGCCCAGGCAGAATGTACTCATATGTTGACAAAAGCCAGTGTTGGCGCACACGCACGCAAATTTGCTTCTGAGGGAGAGACCGTAGTATTAGCTGTATTCATTAAACTATCTATAAGCAGAATATGAAATGCCTGATACTGTAGGGCTATTTAGTATGAAGTTATAAAATCTTTGCATATTGAGAATATACCTGGCAAAAGAGTGGTTCAATTTAAGGCAACAACGTTTAGGTTAATATTGAGAAATTTTCAAGTGGGAATCACAAGCACAATGCTTTGAAAGGTTCGTCAGTGTGCTTTTAAAGTCAGATATGCAGCTGACATTATCTTCAGTGACAGATAAAAGCAGTGAGTTAGGGATTGCAGTAATGCCTGATTAGTGCCTTTGTGAGCAGGGCTATATTGGTGTATAATTTTGACATTTGCTCGACAAATACATTGCTGTCTTATAATTACTCCTGTCTGGTTGCTTGCTATCATAATAGTAAAACAATTCTGTATTTGCAAGTTATACTCCTGTGTTGAATGTGAAAGCTTATAATTTTCTGACAGGTACTGTATAATGAAATGTTAAAATCTAATCTGATAAATGCAAATGCAATAATCATGCGTCAGGCAAATAACAAGTTTGTTTATTTTCAGATGTCACTCCTCCACAAGCTGCTGGATACTTGGAAGTAACAGATCTTAACTCAAAGAAAATCAAATACATTGCTATTCCTAGGTAACTGATTTTATTGATTAGAGCAACCTCTGTCTTACAGGAAGAGCAAAGATAATTTTGTGTGTATTATTACTTCAGAATAAGCAAATATTTATTCTCATGGGGAAAGTAAGAATAAGTCATACCTAGTGCATAAAATTCTGCAACTGTTGCAGCATATTTTTGTCAACATTTTTTATCTGTTTTCTAGGTGATATCAGTGAAAATGCAGCCATTAATTAGGTTAGCTTTATCTTCTGTTTTTCATTCCCTTTGCTCCTTCCCCCTCTTCACCCACTTTGTCCTCTACCCTCTTTAATTTTGTTTTGCTATCCTTATTTTCTTTTCCTTTTTCTCTAAGGTCTAACAAAGACAGTCAGAATGAACCAGTGCTAGGTGTTAGGAAACCAGGAATCAAGTTTCAGTCCAATATAAAGTTCATCTTGAAAATAACTTGAGTTTCTCTATGTTTTGATTCTCCCTTGGGAAAATATACATTCCCTCACATGTATCTTTCATGATACACAAATCTTTTGTATGATGCATTAAAATAGACAGACTACGTGGCTTCTGTTTGGTTTGAACACTTATCTCTCACCATTGTAGACCATATTTGCAAATATTTTATGACATAAGCATATATTTTGGTTACAAATTGTCATTTTCCACTGCAATAATAATAAATATTTTTGTTTTAAATAGCAGTCTCTCAACTTTGCATGTTTAAATAGCACATGTATGAAACCCACACATCAGGAATCATATACTTTTTTTTTTATTCTATCCATTTGATGTTGGTTTTGACAATATTGATTCTCATTTAAATTAATTAATTCTGCTTCATTACTCATCTGTGGAATTTTTTATTTAATAGAGAGAATTAATTTTGGACTGTTTACTATTTTATAATTGATCATCCATTTGCCTACATCTTATACGATTGTTCAGAAATGTAAGGCGTTAACATAGAAATAGTAGGGAATCATATTTTATTTTACACTAGGTTTTTAAAAGAAATTACAAAAATTACAAGGCCAACTTCAACATCATGACCCTCAACCTAGTATGAGGATTTAAGCTATTTATGACAAATCTGAGCAGTACTGTACTCCATTAAAGAACTGATAAAATGACTTTTCATATATATGAATAGATGTATGCTAAAATCTAACAACCTTTCTCCTTCTGGCATAGCTAGCCTGGTCACATGCTAAGATAATTGTCAGTTGAATTAGTGCATGGTGTTTTAAGTTGTTGGCAGAGACGTATGTGTTACTGCTTTTATGTTCAAAGTTTATTAATTGTAGTATTAGTGGAAGTTGCCAAGTCATTATACATGTCATTAACAGTACTGAAAAAATGCAAACAGTCTTTCTTAATTTATCTAAATTTCCCTTCATATCACATAGTTATTAGGCCCTCTGTTTCAGCAGTAAATTTTTGTCTGCAGGTTAACTGTTTGAAATAGTGCTAAGATTTTCTGTGCATAAAGCTGTGCCATTTTAAATGAGAGTTTAAATCTTCATTTTTTTTATTATAGCACTAGAGAAAGGTGTTTTCCTCAGTGCCCCGGTCACATTCTCTCCTATTTCTTTTTTACTTTTCTATTTTTCTGTAACACGTTTTTAAATTTTTCATATTCTTTATGGTTTTTTGTAAAGACTGACTATTCTCAGGTAGAGGACATATAATAGTGGGTTAGGCAACACATTCCCATTCCGCCTGGTCTTTTATGCTGCTTTTTCTACTGACAAGTATCTTTCGATCATATCCACTTTCAGTAGGTGGAATGTTTCAGATACAAAAGTGTGTCTGCAGGGCTTAGCTAAAGTCTCTTATGGAATGAGGATGTAATTTCATTTAATTGCCACCTTAACTACAGAAATACTGATCCTCTTTTTAATTTCAGCTTCTAGAAAAATCACATTAATTTTTGTTTTTCAGATCCCAGTCTCTCTCTCCGTATACATCTTGGCTTTCTAAGATCTCAGATGCCGATGCCCTCTTGGCGCCACTGGGCAGAGTAGGTTTGGTTAGTGTGGACATGGGAGGCTGTGTGAGGCTTTGGGAGACCGGGCTGGACAGCCTCCAGCGGTCGCTGCAGGACTGGAGGAACATGATTGGCCAAGAAGATGGTCGTCCTGTGCAGGTAGGAGTTCACAAAGCTGATGATGCCAAGGCATGTTCACCTGGGAGAGGGGTCAAGGGAGAAAAACACTGTGAAATAGAAATACACCTGTGAGAAAAGTTGAATAGACATCTTCACTGAAAAGTAAAGACACAGTAGCTTAATTAGAAAGCTTATTTATGACCCCTGTAATTATGGTTACTGACAATCTCTTTGTCTTCCAGTGTTTGTATTTTTGCCAAATTCCAGTACATTTAAATGCAAAAAGTAAAAAATCCTCCTGATTTTTAACTGTAACTTTCAAAATGTAGAATAATGAAATTAATTTTTAAGGAAAGCATGTAATTTTCCAGAGTTCAAATACTTGGAAAAAATTGTTGTGTATGTACCTTAGAAAATAAACTTGAATCCTAGGTGGAAGATAAGTTGAGTTCACGGTAGTGCCTCTGTCTAATTTAGAAAATTCTCCCAGCTGAGCAGAGTTACGAGGCTCTCCATACAGCCGTGTTCTCTTGTGGAATGTTTAGGTAGATGTTGAAAATATACAGCATATATGTGTATGCTCTGTGTGGATGTATGTATGTAAACACAAGTGTTAATGTACTGGCTAATATGTATGATTACCATTGCAACACAGAGGGAAAATTCAGGGCTGTTTAATATAATCTTTATTTTCTGTTAGTGATTGGAGAAAGTATCACTCTACTTTGAAGAACAAGTGTACTTTAGGAGAATGTCTCTACTAGGAAGATTCTACATCCATCAACAGCTGCAATTATTTCTGTTTAATGAATTTCAGTAACCACTTTCATGGTACATTAGAATGGAAAAACAGTATGAGTCTTTTCGAAATTAGATCTTTTTCTGGTTTTGTTTATAAGGTGTCCAGCTATCTCAAGTGTGAATGAGGTTTATTAGGTTGAAAACATAGCTCCTTCTTTCACTTTCTCTTCCTGCTGTGAGCTCCCTTTCTACAAGATGTTCTGCAGTTACAGAAACTTTTGCAAGAACTGATGTATTCTTGTTACTGGACCTCAGCGTATGCCTTTCATAGAAGTGGTGAGAAAAGGAAACTGTTACTCAGTAGCAGGTTTGTGTGGTTGCTTGTTGCTTCACCAGTGCCATTTTTGTTACCAATGCAGTAGCACTAGCACCATCTTATGGTCACTTATAGTCTGTTTACACCAGCCCAATTTGATCTACTGATCAAGTTGACTAGTACAAATTAAAAAGAGCCAGGAGGAAAAGTTAAGAGTTTTACTTGCTTTAATAGGAGGTGTTTTCCTTCTTTTTTATCTTTTTTTTGATAACTTGTAATTTTATTCAACAGTATTACTATACAGTCAATCTTAGTCAACTAAATGTTAGAGAAGACTGTCTTGGAAAGTAGACATCATTCAAAAATTTTGAGTCATTTAACTAGTCATGTCAAGTAACCATTTTTTTTAAAAAGGCTAAGAAGTTTTCCCGCAGTCACAAAGCAGTTTTCAAGATCTGTTGTGGAATTTCTCTCTCCTGACAGTCTGGCTCTCTAGTGGGCACATTACAGGATAAAATCTTAGAGTATCTTTCTTCTTTCTGTCTGTCAACACAGGGTATATAGCTCAAGTCAGTGGTTTGTCAAAACTCAAAATGACATACTGTTTGATTTGAGCTAAAGGGCTGAAACAAAGCCTCCCGTGTGATCTTCAGACTTGTGTGATTATCGCTAACTTCTTTTTCTCTACTTTACACACTTTGCTTTAAATTGAAAGATCATGAAACCTAAGAAACCTTTTTCACAAAGGCATTTCAGAGCAATAATTTACAAATTAAATCTTTTATTTTATTTTATGTACATCTCCAATAAGATAATAGATGTGTCGTTGCTGTGTAAACTCTACACTTTGCTATTTGGAGATAAGGGCCTTCACCTTTCCTATTTAACTCAGTTTTTCAGTGGACTTAGACATAGAAGCAGTACTTTATTAAGGCATTCATTTCTGGAAATGAAAAGATCCTGTTAGCTTGAAAATGTATTCATGCAGATTTCCTGTGTAAGGTAAGCATAGCAAGAACTCCAGCGCTTCTTGTTCTAGAGACGCTTACTTTGCTAAGAAAGCTGCAGCTAAATGTTTCCTGATACACATATTTACAGAATTGGAGATATTTTGGAGCCACATGTTGATCTGTTCATTCAAGTGTATGAAAATCACTTTCTTTTGTACACTGTTTCATGTTCATTCTCAGTATCTTGGAGTCTAATGAGGCATCTCTAATTCCTTAACTCAAGCCATCATTCCCAATCATCTTGTAGCAGAAGCTCACTTAAGAGAATTGTCATTGTTCCTCATATCACTAGACTCCATTCCCCACCCACCCCCAATTTACCCTTAGACCAACATGAGACCTGTGTAGGTGGTTGGGAATGACTGTTCTGCGAAAACACTCAGAATCTGTCTGAAGCTTTCTGAACTTTGAGAGAAAAAGGAATTAGAGAGCTTTCAGTATAAATATAAGTACAAACAACTGGAAGCTCTTCAAGCAGCCTTTGGTTGCAACTATTGGTACTATGTTCTAGACCTGCATTTTGGCTTTTACGAACACCTTAGATCTCAGAAACAGGTTGTATGTACACAAACAATGAAACAATGAAACAAACAGCTGTAGCACTTATAATCAGTAATTAGGCTCCCTTGATATAATGTTGTGATTGTCTTCAAAATAGTCAATGTGTTTTGTATTGCTGATGTACTAAGTGGAGTTCAAACTGCTGGAGTCTTGAGGCTACAAAAATAGTTTATGGAAATATGGTTTATGTTTACACAAGTTTGCATTTATGTAGACAGGCAGAAATTGTCTTCATTTATTGGAGTTTTAAATTCAAAGTATGACTACAGTCCTCTGAAACTATTAAATTGGAGTGCCTACAATACAATATCTAAATAAAATACTGGATTTTCTAAAGCTATTAACTCTACTTGAAATCCAAGCTTTTTCATTGTTAGGTGTTTCAGAAAACAAGGTCACTTCGTTATCAAATATCTGAAAAGAATTTGAAAGACTGTTTTTAAAATCTTGCCCTGAAAATTTCATGGCTATAGGCAGACATTGGTAAGTTTGTGTTATTTTTGCGTTGAAGCTTTATTGATAGAAATTAGATGAAAAAACACTGATTACATTCTGATATAGTTGGGCTGTTGTTTTTCAGTAAGCATTGTTTACTGTTATGTCTCATTTAAGTAGAGTACAATGCTTACATAAAAATAATTAAAAGGTGCATAATTTAGAGGTATTTCAATAGACGGTAAAGCTTCATGCTCTTTAGGCACATGACATCTCCACAACAAAATCTTTTTTCATTTATAGATGATTATCAGAAAAAAACATTTATTTCTGTATACATTTCACTTAGTGTTCTCTTGCTGTAGACTATTGCCCAAAATGTTCTATACTATGTAAAGATTATACTCAGAATGTCGTTGTTTTCAAAAATCCCAGAACATACCCAAACCTGTTTAGTGCATAAAAATGTACTTGGTCAAAGATTACAAAAAAGTTGGCTTGTGATTAATGATAATATATATCTGAACCTTGAAAATTAATTGTAACAGTTTTGGCAATCCATGTGTAGTCTTGGTCTAGACAGTATGACCATGCAAAATGACATCCCAGATTTGAGGACAGTCCCTTGCTATTTCAGTGCCAGGATTGTCCAAAGAAGTGATCCAATTGATCAAAAAAAAAGACATTGTTGTGATTTCTTAGGGGTTTCTTTTGGCAGGACTTTGTTGTCTCTGTTACTTAAAGTTTGTGTGGAGCCTGCATTACCTCTTACACGCATGAGATGAGGTTTTTGAAATTGCAGCGGTATGCATTTCTGACTATATATAAAGGCCTAATGAGTTACATAGTTGCAACTCTTTTGATTGCCTATGGACTCTTCTCTCATTTTCTGTTGGCAGTGTAGCAAGCCTTCCTCATAGACATTCAAGTACCTAGTCTGAAATGAAATAATATTTTTATCCAAGTGAATAGCTAACAAGTGGGGAAAAAAAGAAAAAAATCCTTCTGTTTTCCCATCTTTTCTGCTGTAATCCTAAAACAGTGGCACATCTGCTGGAAGATCCCAGATCTTAAGACTCAAGGCTTGTCTGTCCTACAGTACACTGGCTTCTTCAAGGAGGGCCTAGTTTACACAGGTGTTCTGTATAGTGTGTGTTTTCCTCAGAAACTTAAAAATCTGAAATGTTTGGCTCAGGCTATACTTACTGTAAGAGCTCGAGTGGGTTTCTTAAATGGTTCATATTCAGCTGATATAATGTCAAGATCATATATGGTAGGACTGAACTGAGGAAAGGTACGGCAAATGTGAATACAGTGGGACCAGCCTTGTTAATACCAGCTATTTAACAATCAATAAAATACTTGGCATCAGCTTGGATCAGCTACCAGGAGTTTCTGCTTCGGGTAGAAAAACTACACCCATACTCACTCATGAGCAAGCACATGCACTGTGTAGAACCTGAATAATAAAACATCTCCATCATCCCAACTCTTTAGTGTCAAGACTGATGAGCAACACTCAGTTTAAAAAATCATGTGCTTCTTTGTAGATGAGTCAGTCCAAAGGAAATGTGTAAGAGAGGCACTGACACATGCTCAGGGCAGGTTTGTGCCCACCTAGTTCAAGAACATTTCTTCATGTCACTGAAGACCATTCACATAGTATCTATCAGTAATAGTCCACAGGTTAGGGCAGACCTTTATTTGGACAGTTCCTTAGTATGAAAGACACTTCCAGAGACAAGAAGCAGCCTGGAAATGTTCTCTCCCTTTTTTTCCCCCACTTTGCTCTTGTGACTTGACCTGATCTGTCTGGTTTTTAGCAAAAAGTCAACTGAACACTTAAGTTACGTTAGAGTTCACAACATCATAAAACTGAGATGGTGGAATCAATCTAGAAAAACATGTGAACGAGAAAAAAATATTTGTTTGCTTCTCACCAGTGGTTTGAACAACAAATGCACTAGGGAGAGTTC